TTGGTGTTGTTTTCCTTGGAGCAGCATAGACTCCTGGTGGTCTGAGTCAACAGCGTGCTACTTCAGTTAGACAGGTGGTCTTTCCTTCTAGACATTATCTTACAACTTTGGTTTTGACAAGAAAAACAGCCCGTTTTGAAGTTGTGGTTACCAGGGAAGTGTTTGAATCAAACAACTTCAGCACTAGTCTTGAACCCTATGTCTTTGATGCTGGCACCTTTTGTGCGATCTTTAGCCTTACTTAGGTCTCCTGGTCTCAATGAATCATGATGGAGCAAACAATTTTTATACATAAGACAAAAGGAGCAATACTGACAAAATTGTCATGATTTACTCTCAATTTCTCATAAACCTTGTAAGTGGGTCGATTATAAGCTGTGGGGGTAGAACTTGTAAGAGATATCTCTGTCCACATTCTGGTGCATCTTATTCTTACCTTTCTAGATATTGGCCTTATCTTAAGTACCTGCAGAAAACTGGCATCTTCTTCTATTTACCGGTAAAGAATGGACCCACCTGGTGATCAGAATCTGTGGGTGTTGAATGAAGTTCTTGAAAGCAAATTCCACAAACTGGGGTCAACAATTTGTACAGTCTTTTGCCTCTAGATCTGTTGTTCAGCGCTTTTTGTGTCACCTCTATGTATTAGAATTGAACAAGTTGTTCCGGTGGTGTATCTATGACCAAAGCTAGTGGGTGTGCTATTCACATTGACGTGGCAGCCTCTACTGGGATTAGGTTGACCTAAGCTTCAATGGTCTCGCTCTTTGCATCTTTCTGTTGAAGTCAGAAGGGTAAGCTAGTCACAAAAGGTGGAAATCAGAAAATGTCTGTTTGGAGACAAATGTGGACCCACGAAGGCCAAGGACTCTGTTAGTTCCTTGGCTCCACCTACACTAGTGTACTGTAGGTACAATGATGGCTACCAGTAGAATGAATGGCAACATATTTGAGGTAGATGGTAGATTGGACTTGTTCCTCAACTTAATATTGTTCCATAGTCAGACAAAGTTGTAATTGTAATTATGATATCAAACCTGATGACCACCAAAACACAAAAAACATGGTCTGATGACTTAGCCTGGGTACCATCCGGATTTTCGCTATATGCTGCTACGCAACGCTCGAAAAAGTGATTTTTTCGAGCGTTGCGTTTCAAAAATCTGGATGGTACCCAGGCTACTGATGACTCTGAATGACAAAGTGCAATTACGTATACCCGGTAATACCCTCCAGCACATGTATTTTTGTCCTGGATACAGGGTCGGTACCACAGCTGAACTAACACTTGAATCATGCATACATGTACCATTGTTAATGTTATGAGCGAAGGATGAACAGGTCATCTTGGGTCATCAGGAGGGATTTTTGGGATCTGACCCTGTTACAAGGTCATTATGTTGGATGTCTGTGTTTCTGCCAAGGAACCTGGCACTGACAGAGTGGTGGTGTTCTGGCATCTGGAGGTTTATGTGAGTGTGTATGGTTGATATGAATATGATTAGATTTATATAGTTGATTGATACACTTGTATCAGCAAACTTGACAGCACTTGCAAATCATTGGATTCAAAAAGATATCCTGTACATAGAGTTAGCTCTCCTAAACACTGGGCCTCTTCAATGTTGGCTTTACCTGGTGTTGATTGTTGTAAGTTACAAAGCCCATGACATGTGCAGGTGTGTGTGCCTCTGTGTTGGGTAGGGCTTCAGGTGTACTGCTGAAGCAGTAAAGTGCCAGTCAAGATGTTTGTACAGCCCCAGGTTTGTGTTGGGTAGCTAGAACTGTTAGAGAAGTTACAGCACCACACACAGTACCTCCCAAGTTGTGTTGGTGAACTATCAGGCATCCGGAATGTCAAGTGGACTGGAGACCCTTTATTTGGGGTGACATTGCTTGTAACTCTAGGTCAATAGTGTTGATGTTACAGCATGGTTTAACCTTGTGGGTACTCTGTGATGTTGAAAAGAAAAGTTTGCTGCCTTGTCCTCTGCTGTATTGCTGTGATCTTTTGTTACACGTATCCAGGACTTCCACTTTTCTTGCCCCAGCCTAATGATTGCTCCCAGAAAGATTATGTCCCACACAGTGTATCATAGATGTTGGGAACTTTTCCTGTGCCACATTAGTGCAGATAATCGGCTATGTGTGTGGTATAGCTGAATGTTGTGCACCACTTGCATGTACAATGTATGTCAGCTGCTAGCTGTAACTTTTGACTCAGCTAAGTAGGACAAGTGTTTATTTATCTACTAACAGCTGACTAAAGTAGGAGACAGACTGGTAGAAACAGAAGACTTCTTGATTCAGATTGTACTAGGATGGTTATATGCAGCAAGGTATGTATATTCATGGATGGGTGTATAGTGTATTAGATACAGGCTAACTGATACAAGAACATGTACCTTCTTTGCTATTGTCATAATTGTGTGCATTGTATCCATGTAAGTTAAGGGGATGAATCATAAAAAATTCTGCATACCAGCCTTGTGTGTTTTTCATTCCTTTATAATTCATGATCAGCCTCAGCACATTTGCTATCCATTTGTCCTCTTCCAAAGAGCATTCCAACTGAAAAGTGCACATTGTCTGCACTCTCTTCTATGCTCAATTGGCTTCAGACTGATGATTATCTGCATTTCCTGACCTGGAAACTTCAAAGGGCCTGCGATGACTCTAGGTATCAACCTTGCACAGGTGGCAAATATGCTGGATTACCTTTTTCTTAAGGGTGGAATAAAAAGTCTTTGTCCTAAAATTGTTGTCTTAAGGCTAAGCCTTCAGGTCCGGATAAACTTAATGACTTCAGGTGGATAGCCTTTTGAACCATTTGTTTTGAATGTATACTAATAAAAGCAGAAAGATGGGCTTTGATAACATTTGCCTTGCATTGTTGCAATGTTAAAAGTATTCGTCCTTTCCAAGCACATTGTGAAAATGATATATTTTCTTGCATATACAGTCTACAGTTCCTTTCCATCCTTCCTTTGTGTATGAGTCTCAGTTGTTATTTGAGAAGTTCTAACAGGGGTTTTGCCCTGAGGGAAGACAGCAGGATTGATGAGTTGGCCTTGTGATTTGCTGGTAATGAAGAAAGGAAACCCTAATGGACCTGAGGGGTTGTAGTAAGCACAGTTGACATTCCAGCTGTTACAAGACAGGGGTATTACAGCCTTCAAATTCATTCAAGGTGGACTTTATTATAGGTTATGATCTTAGTTTGTTACGTTGGATGTCAGTATGGGGTCTGTAAATTATCCTTTTATCTCTTTTGTAGAGCATACTCATCTAGTGTAATCAATGAGCACATCATGATCACAAGTATAACAATCTGTCAATCAAAATGTACAATGAAGGGCTTTGTTTAGTAGTATTGACTAGGCATTCTTCATACTGGATTGGAAGCCCAGAACGGCTTAAAAACCCTTGATAGGTGGTAGGCAGGACAGTAAACGCACTCTGCCTACCATGGGATATCTATTATATAGCTTGTACTAACTAGTAAGATGTTTCAGTGTTCTATGAAATGTTGAGATGAGGTGGACTACTAAACATTGTAATGTCATTGCTATATTTTAGCAGCTGGTAACTGCACAAGGGTTGCTTGAGGAGACTCTTTTGCAGAATAGGATACATTCAAATATGCTTGATATATCACAGGTCAACTGTTGAACACAAGGACAGAGTTTGAGATGCTAATTTCTTTTTCCTGCCTGAAGCACTACTGGGATATGAAAAGGCCTTATCAGCACTGTCCAGCTATCTAGGTTATCCTGCATACAGAGATTTATCATCCTGGAGTCTTCCTGTCATGGCAAGCTCCATTTGAACCAAGTCATCTGCTTGAATTGTCATGTTTTCCAGCTACACAAGCATGTTCTTTCACATTGACCTCTGTCCTGTCATGTTTGGTGGTGTGGGCTCTCCATCATGTGGGGTAAATTGGTTTACTCAAGGTCAGTTTGGCCGCTAATTCCTCATGAATATGTCCTGGCAGGTCTGTGGAGGCGTCCATCAATAGGGACTTTGTACATGTAGCTATCTCTGTGAGTCTGTCCTTCCTCTGATTTCATACAGGTGGCCAGTGTACTGATTGACCCTGCCATATCATAGGTCAACTGTAAAAAAAATTACAATGCATTTCATCACTTCAAGGCATATATCAGGCATATATAAGGCATGACTGGGACAAAGAGGTATTCTGTGCCTGCACTCCAAATGGACCTTAACAAGTCTGGCAAGTCACCAGAGTTTATGAAAGAATTCTAAAGCAGCTGTCTTCCACAAGCTTTGCCAAAAACTTTTAATGCATGGCTGCACCATATAGACATTACTAATAGCTTAATTGGCAGACCTTACATCTGTTAACTATCTAACCCCTTGGAACCAGGTGATGACCCTTCCAACCTGTCCTCACCTCTTTATCAAGCCTATCTGTCCCAGGATTAACTTGCCAGTAACTGACATTCCTGTCCTGATTCATAGCAGGAGGTGGTCAAGATAAAGACCTCCCCAATTGATTTTAGGGATAGAATTTTAGAACTTGATATGTCTGGGTGATAAGTTATGTCATGTGGGGAGGCTGTGTCCTGGATCCATCAAGTGATGATGAACTGGATGAGTGTGAAATTGTGCCAAGAAGTTTGAAGGTTTACACAAAGGCTTCTTCCACATATCTTGCCCGTCTGGGCAAGGGAAATGACTTGAAGTCTTGAATATCATGCGCATTATTTTGTATATGTTTGATTCACATGTGACATGTGAATCTCTGCCATTTACATTGTGAGTTATCAGCGGTTCCTTTTTCTCATCACTAAGAAATGGATACAGTTGAATTGAATCATCCTGCTGATTATCTTTTTTTCTTACAATTCTTCTTGTATTTGACTCTAAGGTATTAATGGAAAATTGGAAGAAGAAGACCTATCTAATATTTAGAACATGACAGATATATATCTATTGATTCCATAATTGATAAGTTTCATTTTCTTCCCATGCAGCATCTACCTCAGATGATGTTGAACTGTTGAGAGAGCAGCTGAAGTCCCTGGGTTCGGAGCTGGCATCCATCCGCTCAGCCCTCAGCATCAAAGGAGAGGACGACACCAAAAGTCGCACCTCCAGAATGTCTAGTCGGAGAGGTGAGTACTTCAAAGTAGTGTAATTATAGCTTTTGTATCTTATCTTCTTTGCTGTAGATCCTATTGGTCATATAAAACTCTCTATCCATGAAAGAATATGAAAAAAATTATTTGTTAACCTTTATCCACAGGATGATGGTTAGTACAAAAAGTCTACCAGCCAAAGACAGGTAATAGGATTATGGTTAATTATAGAGATTTACTGACCCTGGATATTGCTGAGGGTGCAAAGCCTGTCCAAACACCTAATACAGCAAGTATGTTAAAAATCTGCTTTGGAAACAGGTGTTCTTTTTACTGTCCCGTGACCCACATGCCCCTAGTATTAACGTCACCTCCTCTTATAACAGGAATCTCCGTACAGATTGCCCAGATTGTAAGCCTCCACCTCTAAAACTTGACCTTCTCCTCTAACCTGTAAACAGACCAAGAGGAAAGTGTGTTGTTTATATGGACCTTGTCAGTACTGTGGTCTGACCCTGGTACTGGGGCACATTCCATGCATGAGTGGGGACCTGAGCAGATCAACCTGGGAGGACCCCATACAGGATAAAAGTCTCTTCTCTGTAACATTAGCCAGTATTGTGTAGGGAGGATATTAGAGTTTTTTTGACACAATATACTTAATTATGGATGGACCAGGAAGGCCTGTAGAAGCAGACTGTCCCTTAGAAATTTGAATACTACTGGGAACAGAACAGGAAATATTGGGGATCAGCCTTTCAATATGGAGCTTAATGTAGCAGATGACAATTTTGTAGTCGTGCATACCATGCTTGATAGTAGATCAGCAGACTTTTTCCCCGGGCACCTGGGAAAAAAAGACTTAAGTCCAAACCCACTGCAAATGTGTAGGCTGTCAGATTTTCTAATGTAGATTATTATCATAACAGACAAGGAAAATAGTATAAATGATAGAGTGCAGCACTTTTTGTTCCTTTGTAGGGGTGTTGTCCAGCCTTGTAGTTCTGTTTGTACTCATCCATGGTCATAAGCCACCAAGGCTGTCCATATTTGCTGTTATACAGAATCCTTTCAATGGGAAACTTGTCCCATTGTGCCAGGTGCAACGGCAGTGATGTCGGCTCCTTTAGAACTCCCCCCCACCTTCATCCAAGGTAGCTTTGACAGTGCTTACAAGTTATACCTTCTGGCTAGGTACTTGGATTACCAAAAATGTGTGACATATCAGGGGGTTCAAAGGAATACAAAGCACAAACATAAACAGAACAGAGGCTCTGGTATGTTTGTTTGTTTAATTAGAATAACTGATACTATTTGCTGTAATAGAAACCCCAAGGTTGTGCAAATCATTACCCCAGGGTCAAGGTCATCTAGGTCTTTGTCCTGTCCATCTTACGTACTTGAGCTGTTTGTGATCAGCTGTAGTTGGGAATCATTCTACTGTACTGCACAAGTACAGTTTGCTAAAACTAGAACTAAATGAGACAAAGTATGTCTAGCAGAGGTATTCAACACTTCTGTTAAGTTGTAACATGGTGTCCAGACCTGTACTGTCTTTATATTCATTTGATTATCGACAAAATACTGGGATTCCATTTAACTTAAGTTAAAGTTTGGAGACAAGATGCACACTTCTATTAAAAGGAAGGGGATGGGTGTAACATGCAACATTTCCAAGGTCAACATCCAGACAAAGAGAAAATTGGATTCCAAAGGCACCTTAACCTTAAGGGCAGATCACCTGGGTGGATCAAACGAACAATGTTTTCTACTTTTTACCAAATCTACCATCATCCCTTCTCATGCAAAGCCATTCAATTGCCATGTTGTTTCCATGGTGCTAAGTGGATCTTGTCATCTGTTTCATCTCCATAATGGAAAACACTAAATGAAATTTTACCAACAGAAGTGTAGGTTCTTTTTATTCCTTAATGTTTATACTTCCCCCCTAATGTTCATTCCATACATGAACTTATCAACGTTCCAGCCATTTCATCCTGTTTACACGTCTCCTTCCTGTTAGGGGTACTATGCTAAGTGTTCTGAGTTTCCCCAAGACGTAAACACAAGAATTCCTTTCTGTAAGAACTTAGAAGAGTCACCAAGGTTTCTTAATTGAGTCTTGGTTATATGCTGGAAAGACTGATTGGATTGTGGAGAGTGAACTGAAGCAGGTCGGTCCACTCCAGAAAGGGCTTGCTTTAATAGATGTTGTGTAGATGTTGTGATGTGAAATGATGTTGAGGAGCAGTGAATCATGTGGACTGGACAATCACATGTACAGGCCATGTGCTGTATAGGTAAGGTTTGTACATGTTTGACACTATACTTGGGTTTGAAGTTTCGTTATCAAGTTGTATCCTTTGACATAAATGAAGAACTGAAAGGATAAACATGATTGTTGTTGCCAGTATTTTGAAAGATACAATATTTCTGGGATATCTGCAAGTGAAGAGGTGAGGGGATGAAATGTTATGTTAGTTATTGTTACTGAGCATTTTGCAGATTATTTCATCAGCTGTTTGAGTCAGAAAATACGTATGACCCACACATTCTGTTACAGAACATACAAGATCAACAAATCCACCCTACTTGAACAGTCTGACCTTTGTCGTGCAGCTGCTGCTGGTGTAGTGTTTATGTGTTTAGTGTTGGGTGGTAAATGGTAACATCAGGACAGGTGCCTTACTGGATGGTTGGGTAATGATGCAGTACAGGTTCCTGTTTTGGAGGGCACCATGATGACGGAGGCCTCCACCCCCCTGGAGATGTTTGTGTCTGTTGTTTGGACTCTCTCTCAACTGATATCATGTAGAAGAATTGGCTCTACAACTAGTTTAAAAGTTATAGTATCATAATTTAAGACGTTGTATAGTTGTAACTTACATGTAAATCACGAGCCATGGACATGTACTCAACTGTATAGGACTATTGCTTTGGTGGTTGGCTGCTTTGTTGTTTTCAAAATTGCTCAAATGAAATCAAGGAGGTTATGTAAGAAACAAACTAGAAAAAACTCTTGAAAAATATTGATAGACTTTGAAAGTTTCTTGTATGTCAATAGCTTGCACGTGAAGGCCAATTTCTTTCTGCATTTCTTTCTGATACCACAATTTTTGTTTTCAATTTCACACAACCCTTACCCCATGATCCTTTCCATATACTCACTAACCAGTTCATAATGAGCTAAATGAGTGCTAAATGAACAGGAAAAATAGCCACGTGGGAATTGATCAACCTCTAGGGATTTGAGATTTTGGCAAGATACAGAAGAAAGAATTGAGTGCTAATGAATTAGAAGTAATGACAGATGATTGATAGTAAGTAGCTATTTTTTATGTTATGTGTGGATGTCTAACCCTCGGAAGTTGGGGAACAACAGACGATAAACCAGATAGTGAGTGAGAGTGAGTGGAACAAGTCTAGAGGATGTGCAGTATTGTCAAAAGAGTTACAAATTGGTACCGTAGACTACTGTAAAGGTTTTTATGTTTCTTTGGTTCTAAGGAAACTGAAGGATAGAATACAATTATGATTGTGCAGTTCACAGTTTAAATGTTTTTTTTGTTTATCAATTTTGCCCAGGTTCTCGGCGAGCGTCTGTGTGCAGCCAGTCCAGTCCAGGCCGGTTCTCCCACATGACGGACCTGATCCACCTGGCCGGCCCGCTGACAGAGGACGCCATCCTCCGCACTCTGCAGTCCAGATTCTACAGCGGGGAGTACTATGTGAGTGGTGAATGCTTTGGAGACATTTAATGTTTTAGGTGTAACTTTCATAGAAGTTTCATATTCACTTTTTGGGTAACCATCAGGTTTGACACTAGGCATTTGCAGAGTTGGTTTGTAATTCAAAATCATATTGTCTAACTTCCCTATTATAACACAATTACAAAGTGTGAAATCCTGCTGAGACCACCTGTTTGACAGGCTGATCATCTTAAAAATGTGATCTTTATTTCCTCCTTAGTGCTCTCTAGTAATTACCAAATGTTGGTATTATTATCAGTTCTTTCCCAGGACACAGTGGAATTCCTTTGGTCAATCTTGATAACAACTCAGCATTCCATTACTGTATGTTTCTAGATCTGTTATATTGCTGTTATGCTGGAATTCTGGCTTTATAATTCAGTCACATTAACTACTACTTATATTCCAGGAATGTTGCAAGATTGGTCTTGAATTATGCAACATGCATTGGTACTGTAGCATAGTGGGCACTCATCTTGCACTTTATTGCGTAACAACAGCAAAGATAACTGACATTACAAGCAAATAAAGACGTCCCGCATCCCACTTTCTGTCATCATACTGCAATAAAAACTACATAAAAGTTTTAAGGTCATAAATGAAATTCCAGAATGCCATACTGGAGATGGCCATGTGACAAGATGGGGTCTAATTAGGATGTCTGCACTCTGAAATGACAGTTTTTACATCAATTCAAATTTCAATGGCACTGTTTGAATTTTCTGCAAACATTACCGTACTTACCGCTTAATGCTTACCAGTTACAAACATTACTAATATTACTTGAGTAAGGTAGATGAAGGTTAAAATGTTTGAGGATTAGAATGATTCTCATTTTATTACTGGTATAAATCTTTAAAACTTTTCATTGAAGTAAAGGCTAATGTTATTTATTATATACATGTATGAAGAATGTATGTCAGTTTCAAAATACATCTTCAAATCCTGTTGCAGACCAACATAGGACCTATCACTGTGCTGGCAAACCCCTACAACTGTAGCTTTCCTGATGTTGCACTACACGCCGACCCCCGCAGACACCAACCTCTGCACAGGGTGGCGAAGGACACTGTTAAACAGCAGCTGGAGACTGGCCACTCACAGGTCGTCATCTTCAGGTGGGACATTAGAATATCAAGCTCACATGTACAAGTTTAGCTACAAGCAGACAGTAGAATTAGTATGTTTGAAATTTATTTTAGACTATAAGATAATATATGTACCAACCTGTACTTTTTTGTCAGTTACCGACATTTAAAATGCTAGAGACCCAACACCGTTTTTTTTTTCCACTCAGCCAACTATAGCCCTGGTAGGCTATTATGCCTAACTACTAGTGTTTAGTGTTAATTGTTGTATTTTTGTTTCCCCAATAGTGGTGAGAATGGCAGTGGGAAGACATACTGCTCACAGCTACTGCTGAGACAACTGTTTGATGTGGCAGGAGGAGGGCCTGAGACAGATGCATTCAAGGTAAAAACACTCCTCCTTTTGTCATCAATACCCCAGACTTCTGAAGTTTGGACTATAATTGAAATGACAATGCTCTGAGTCTGAAGCAATAGGTAGGCTGATAGTCCCACTTCAGTGTTTATAACTGTCATTTGACTTTATGTGATGGACCAGGAAGGATTGTTTTGGGACTGTGTAAAAGGTGCAATATCCCTGCACTGAACATCTCCCACCCACCATGATTCTTACAGATCCATTCAATCTTCTCCCTTGTGCATCCTTCAGTTTCCTGCTACTGTCCCCTTTCACATATCAAAAGTGTGTTTGTCCCTTCCTACTGTTGATTTCCTGCTAAGCCACTTTCTGGCTCTAATTTCCTCTCTGGAGGCTGAGGTAATTACTCTGCCCACCTGATGTCTTCTTCTTCTCATTATGAAGATGTCAATTGGTTTTCTGCATAGTGCCTTCCAAAGCTCAATACTTGTGAGAGTGTAGCAGTACAGAATTATACCTCCCAAATGCAAATGGCATGATGAGAGAACCATTATAGTGGAAGCTCACCTGAAAATGTCTTGAGGTGGGGCATTTCTTGCAAAAGCAAAGAAGTTTGTAATCTTTTCAACAAACACCATACTATTCACACTCTTTGTGAGGAAGATTATACCCCAGAAGTAGTTCTTTGTGGAGTGGAGAGGAATAATGCTAGGCAAAGTGCTGGGGTGGGGCCAGGGTTGTTCCAACAGGTTGGAAATAAATGGCTGTTAAAACTACTTTTACAACTTACAAAAACATTTCTACACAATCTGTCTGGAATGATGAAAAGGTTTACAGAAAATAAGACAGCATCTTTGGAAACAAATAAATTTGGAGATATTGTGTACACTACAGCTGCATGTCCACAGTGGTAGCCAAATCATAGCTGTTTCTACAGGTGCTATACACATGTATCTTCAGTCTATTTTGTTTTTACTTTAAAACTGATAATGATTTTTTCCACACAATTTTGTTAGAAATACTGATCTTGCTTGCCTTACAGCACCTGTCTGCAGCCTTCACTGTCTTACGCTCCATAGGAAGTGCCAAAACTGCCACCAATAGTGAGTCCAGTAGAATGGTAAGTTACATGAATTATTATATCATTGTGTACATCTAGATCTTGATTTAAAAGTACATTATTACACAGAGAACAATAAATATGAATCATCTTCACCAACTACTAGTACCTGTAGGATATTGATTATATTGTTTGATTCTGCAGCAGTGTTTTGTATAGTAACAACAAAGAAGGTATCCAGATATGTTAAGCCACAGGGGAAAATACATGGAATACTGACTGACGGAGTTCCTATTTTCCCATGCACAGGGTCATTTCATTGAAGTGCATGTAATCGATGGAGCCATCTACAGGACCAAGATTCACTGCTACTTTATTGATCAGGTAATCATATGTAAATGTCAACTCTAAGTCTAGCAGGTTTCCCCATCCCTACCAAATTACTAATGGAACACTGGCATTGCTGCAAATGTAAGTTTGAACAGCAACTAAGAGGCAGACAGGGATTTGTCTCCAGTTCTGCTTACATCAGACATAGACAGACAAAGGGGAGAAAAATCAACAAGGATTACAGAGGCACCAGGCATGGGGAGATCTTTATCCCATACCAGGTAGGGGGTGGAATTAGAACATCTACCAGACCCAACAGGTACCAGGATAGTGGGGGCTTATCTTATCTATACATTCTCAGGTGAAACTCTGGGCTAGGTCAACTTACACAAACTGTTTTAGTAAGCCTTTGTGTCACAAACTAGGCAGCATGCACAAAACTGGAGTTTTGAATTATATTCCTGCCAATGCTATGATAGTTTTACATGTAGTGACTATATTTTTGAGAGGTATCCCTCAGTATATGGACCAAGCACCGTCTAGTAAAAGCTTCACAGAGTCCTTGAAAATCAGCTACAATGCAACTCTTTGGTAGTATCATTACAGCAATGAAGTACATGATAAAGATCATAATTACTATCTTCTGTGCTGGTCCTTGTGCATAAAAAGTATTATTCCCAATAGCAATTTGCTTGATGTTCTAGATAGGAACACATGGCATCTACGTATACTACCAGACAAACATCTACTGACTGAATTACTCTTGATATCAACATTGACTCTATGCATTATGCAGCAGTAGAAACAAAAGCATCAGAAAAACCTCCTCCAATATGTAGATAATCTCCTTCATTATCTGATTACTACCCTCACGCAGACCCGCTGGCCAGGGATTAGGCAGAACCATATACTCTATCATTAGTCAATACTGTCCTTCATTTCAGGATGTGGGGAAGGTTAAATGTTTTCATGAGTAGGTACTGTACTGAGGAGGTACTGCACTGAGGAGTTTGATTGGAAATTTTCTAAATAGAAAGTGATGGTGGGCTTTTGCACAGACTGATTAACATGGTATAGTAGGATGGTTACTCAATATTTTTCAGAAGTAAATATTATAGATTAAATGGGTAATACTTGGTATTAAAGAACGGTTTTTCAGCCCATACAAACATGACTCAGCATGTAACCTGTATGGTAAGGGGATGAAACTCCCAGGTCCTTCCATCCTTATTAGTGTCCCTGATGTTGCTCACCTACATGTATTTTTAGCAATCCTGACCTTTACCTTTATTATCTTCTTTTCTAACTATGGGAATTTGCAATTTTCATAAATGACTCTGAGGACTCAGCAATGTTGGATGGACAATGGAGGATATAGCTTGTCAAACACGTTTGTTTCACCCAAATTACCCTGAAGACCAGATGCATCATGTGGAGGTTGACACTGCTAATCCCCTGTCATCACCTATTGAAAAGTCACATTGTCGTGTAATATTTTACCTGTCCTCTAGCAAATATCAGATTTTTACAAATTGACGTTGGCTGACAACTTTAATCCCACCCTTCACCCAGTCCATTGTGCTATATTGATACAGAGTGAACTAGCTGACACTTGGAGGCCGATAAAGAAGTTGTGACATTTTGGAACAATTTTCTGATGAACTAGTTTTGCTCCCTTTTGAGTCAGCCTTTGTAAGGTGAAAGAAATAATGATGCAGGTTCATTTTTCAAATGTCACTGCTGTGTTTTAAACTTACTGTGTATTTTACATTGAAGTACATGTGTGTGAAATACACAGAACTGAAGAATCTGAAAATCCTTCTAAAAGTATCCATCTTTTTTTCTTGGACCTTTCCTTTGTCCCATGTGAAATCTGTGGTTATAGCAACCTTTACTTCAGGCTTATAATAAAAGAAATATCGGCTTGCATTGAAACCTATGGCGGGTCCTGGTATATCATATTTCCATATCTACCCTCTAACAATTTGAGTTTGCCATTCTTTGATATTTGGTCCATTCCACCTTATTAGTTTCAAATTAGTCACTTCTGATTGCCCTCAATACTGAAGCGCCTGGGGCAGGTATTCAGTTGAAAACCAAACCGATCAGTTTATTAGCTGCAGGCGCTGTATATTGTCCTGTCAGGTCATATTACATACAGGGTCATGCAGATGAAGTAGATTTTGAGCAACATGTCAAAAGTACAGAACAAAGATACCTCAGGTCAAATTGCAGACTATTCTACTGTAACAAACTAATGTCAACAACATGCCGTTCAGATTTGTGACACACGATTTGAAGACCTACACACCCATGTTAGATGACCTAGTTATAAGATATGCAGAATGTCAGAAAGAGAATGAATGCTCCAGGGCCTAAAGGGGTGCACACCTGCAGTAGGTAACATTACACCAGTATGAGGCTAAATGTCAGATATTGAAACCACTGTATTGTAAACATCCTTGAATCTTGTATTGTTCAGAAAAGCGAAATGGCACTCAGCTGATTGAATATGGAATAGGAATGTCAGCATAATTGGCACAGAATCTGATGTGGCTGAACACTCTTGTTTTCCAGTCCAGAGTTGTTCACCCTGCCAGACATGAGAAGAACTTTCACATCTTCTACCAGATGTTAGCTGGTCTAACACCCGAGGAGAGAGGTGAGCGTGCTCTGGTAATGGCTGCTGCCATAGTAATACAATACCTATGCACTGTATGTGCATATGTCAGTATAATTTCAGTGATCTTATATATTATTCGGAATCGGGAAGGTGATTATGATCTACAAAAGATCTACAAAATGGTCAAATGGTCACAATTTCTTACAGCACGAATCTGAACATGTACATGTACATGTAGTACCTTCTATGTGCACTAGGGGGCCCTTCTGTACTGTTCAGAAATGTCTCACCAGACTGTGTCTCTCTTCCAGTAAAACTCCACCTGCAGGGCTACTCTGCCTACAACCTGAAGTACCTGAGCTGCGGGCAGCTCCTGTGTGATGACATGGAAGACAGATACAGATTTGAGGCCTGGAGGGTGAGTTTGGGAGAATGTCTTTCTTTCGCAATCTTTCTCCTGTGTGATGACATGGAAGACAGATACAGATTCGAGGCCTGGAGGGTGAGTTTGGGAGAATGTCTTTCTTTCGCAATCTTTTTTCCACCATCTCTTTATCACATTATGCTTTGCCTCAATAGAGGACGACTGCTATACCTGACTTTGCCATCACTAGAGCTAAAATAGTTTGTATAAGATTTAGTAATGCACAGTATTGAATAATATTCTACAAAAAATTGCTTGGTTGTATTGAAGCTTGACCAGTGAAGATAACACTCTAACATGCTGCTGGTTGTCTTGTTGATAACATTGTTCTAACCTATCATCTGTCCTGACTTGCAGAGCTCCCTGTCAGTGTTAGGTATCCCGTTTGCTGATGTGATGAGGGTGCTGGCAGCAGTCCTCCTGCTGGGTAACATCGAGTTTGTTGAGGGAGATGGACTGGAACTGGATGTGCAGGGGAATAATGGTGAGATATGACTGTAGATACAGAACATAGTATACAGATGGTGATGATGACTGAAACTCACCATGAACAAGATTTTCTGTTGCTACATGTAGAAGATTGTTTTCTGACTGTTCAAACACTTCATGCTTCTGGAATGAGTAATGAGTTTACTTTTTGTCTTGCAGAAATCAAGTCAGTTGCTGCCCTGTTAGGAGTGTCGGGTGTGTCCCTGTACAGAGGCCTGACCACCAGAACACACAACGTCAGAGGACAGGTCTTCAAATCACTGGCTGATGCTGCAACTGTAAGTCACTTCTCACATGCTCTCCAACTGTTGAAAAAAACGTTGCCTCTTTTGTGCATGTTACTTCTCCATCAGTTTGTGTAAACCACTACTAGAATCCAGTCATTGCATTCTTGACTTAAAAACTGATTACATGTACATGTATATGTACAGAAAGGATGGAAGTATCAGTACTGTAATCTTTGTCTTTAGTACAGACTTAGCATCAATGTGCAGGTGGCTCTGTCAACAACAATTTAGCATATTTTATTGTTACAAATATGAATAACTCTCCTAAAGAAAGCAGTTTTGATTAACAGTATCAAAATGTTTACATAGAGAAAAAAAAATTATTCTTTCTATCCAGGCTAACCAGATCCGGGATGCGCTGGCCAAAGCCCTGTACTCACGAACCCTGAATGCCATTGTGCGCCGTGCCAACAGTGTGAGGAGACCTGCTTCCAACTCAGGAACCAACAGCAGTGACAGCAGTGAGTCAGTACAGAACGGTGAGTCCTAACTGTCACTCAGACGTTGTGCAAAAGGAACAGTTTATAGAAGATAACATTTTGCAAACCTGTTGCACATCCTGGTTGTGATCGAATTTTCATATTCATCACCTTTAATATGTGTAGAATAAATTTTACACAAGGGAAATGCAAAGAAGTTGTTGAAGTAATTGGTACCTTTCTAGGAAACTGATTGGTTCTGGTTCAAGATTTCATTAGTGGGGAAACTCACTTGATAGGATTTGTCTGTCTGTGGTTCAGACCCAGACATGGTCAGACATGCTGTCTGGAACTGGAATTTCCGCCCCCAAAGACGCCTACTTGGAAAATAAGAAATTCCACTTTAGTTTGTCCAAGTTTCCAGACAAGGTATGCCTGTCTTAACAAAAGTGTCCATGTCAGTTTTTTGGTATAACCCTTGCAATACTATTAGTCTGGAATCTAATGTGGTACATTTTATCATGATTGTGTCATAAAGCATCCAGGTGTAGAAAAGTGTTGAGTAGTATTTAGTGATGAAAGGATCACAGACTCCATCTTCAAACATTGAGTGAGTTTCACTTGGTGATGGCCCAGTGAGGCACATGATGGTGACAGCTGTTTCTGTTTGATGGAGGTCAGAAGTGATGTGTCCAGAGACATACCTACAGCACGCATATCCTGTCTGGAGTACTTGAGTCTATACATGTTAGGGTCAGGCATACCCTCGAAAGAGTTAGAAAGTCTTCTATTACCAAGTGTTGACTCATTTCCTTTCATCAGCTCGCCCATATTTCTCCAGATGTCTTCCAAATACTTCCATCTGGTTATGTTTGAATCTAGAAAATATGTAACAGTTGTGCTTACTTAGTTGTCTAAAATATACATGAAAGGGTTTCAGATGATCTGATGGGAGTGCAGTATGACCTAAATGAGAAGACAGTAGGTAGTTAGGGTAGGTGGTACCTGGGTTTGGTTCAGTTTTGTAGCTCCATACTGTTGTAGTTTCAGACGGGATTTTTTTCTGTCGCCTACAGTAAATGGAAACCTCTTGTGATAAAATACTGTGGGCCTGCAACCTGTTAAGTGTGTGTCACTGAGTAGCCAAGAGTAACAAAATTTACACTGACACTTGTATCAACTGATTCTAGCTCTTTGTATACACTGTACATCAGATTCTGTTTCCCAATGACGCACTATCTAAGACCACAAAGGCTTTGAAGAGAGAAGAGCTGTAAATCTCTCAAGCAACATTTCAAAATATTTATTATAACTTCACCCTCTGTGTCATATTTAGAACCATACAAAAGCCAGTTGGGAAATGGTCTGTTGGAACTGTCTCCTTCTGTGAAATATGATATAAACATTGTGCCTACATTTTTGGCACTTAAACATCATACTGCCTTGGCACATGAACATCATACATCCTTTTGGATAGATTCTAAGTCTCAGATTAGATTTGTAGTCATAACAGAAGTCTACCATGTGGTTGACATATGTAAAGGGAAAAAAATCAGGTTTCTTGCATTAAAAAAATTTCAGGATACTGTATTCATTCTTACAATATACACATATTACATATCACATGTTATATGTGGGGAAAACTAAATGTCCACTGAAGGTGATGTAGGCATCCTCCTCATCACCAAATATGGCGAGATGGTCTCCATAGTCCATCCTCATCCACACCTGGTCCCCCACTATCAGCTCCAACATGACGGTCTGGGACTGCATGATGCTGCGGTCACCCTCCTGGGCAAACAGGATGACCTGTGGCTGGTTGTTCTTCATCAGATGTAGGTAGGTTGTCCGGCTGTTGTAGCTGTGGACTGTGGCAGAGAAGTAGTAGATACCAGCGATAACACAGTAGAACTTCCCTGTGTACAAGTTGAAGTGTTCTCCAGTGTTGACCAACACTTTGTCGTACATGACCACCTGGTAATACTTGGTCCCCTCCATGGGTTTGCTGCGGATGACAGAGAAGGCTGATGCCTGGAGTTTCTCAGGTGGACCAGGAGGGCCCTCGACTCCCTTGGGCCCGGGAGGTCCAGCAACACCCTTGTGTCCTTTTGGTCCCATCTTCCCCGTTCTACCAGGGAAGCCACGATCTCCTGTAAAGAGAAATATTGTGCAAGCATCAATGGAAGTCCAAGCGGATACAATTCATATGCAAAACACCTAGAAAGATTTTCCTGTGATATCACCTGAATAGTCAGGTCTGTAGTTAATGTCCCAAATGCTTCCTACAGACAATGTCACTAAGTCACTTGATAATCAAATACCCTACCAAGCACTTTGGAAAGAGATTTATTCTGTAGAATTTCAGTTCCTGTCTCAGATTGCAGGCAGTGGCCTTCAGCTAGAAGTTCATGGGGAGAAACAAAGTTCACCAGAGAAAAGACTCAGAAGGTTTCTATTATCACATTACCAATTTTACTTCTAAGTTAATTCCAACTGTCAGAATGTCTAGCCCTTAAAGATCATGAGCGGGTTGTCTAACACCACAGGAAGGAAGCAGATATCTTGGCTCAAAGTCTGTCTCCAGCTGCTACCTTAATGCTCATCATGATCAACTCACAGAAATTGGAAAATAGTTTGCTGGTCTGCTTCACACTGTTGGGCTGATGCCCAATGAGGACTTTGGAACTTGGAACAACCTTGAGCTTTCCTTATCACATGCCTTTCTAGGTCTTAGTAAGGAAGTGAGACATAAGGCTTTAATTTGTGCAAATGGCCAAAGAAAATCAAGTTCAAACTGAAAATGTATTTAATGTTCGTGAAATATTCAATACAATGAAATGAATCTGTCATGGCTGTCATCATTAAGATAATAGAGTTTTACTACATGTTTGTACAAATCCAACCTAGCGCAAAGTCAAACTTACTGTCAGATGGTCAGACAGTTTGACTTCACACTAAGATTGGATTTGTATATACATGTACTGTAGTACTCAGAGTCTTAGACCCTATATGCTACATGCTTTCTGTTGCTGTGTTGGAGACATACCAATGAGAGATCCTCTTTGGTAATGGTTAACCAGTTTATTTCTCCCACAGTTTCATGGCAGGTTGTTGGAAGAAAGATGGCAAGTAACCTTGCAGTAAATGACCACCAGCCGGGCTTCCATCAGTGGTAAAAAGAACCATCAATAAAATGTGAAGGTCTAAAGAAGCTAAGTATAAGGTCAAGGATTGGTAACCACATACACCTGGTATTCAGACTTCTACTTGGTACTTCACCTACCCCCAATCACAGTGTGCGTCAGTCAAGATCACGGCCCTGGTTGAACCTTTGGCCAAGGTTATGGGCTGTTATCTGACAAATCAACTGGTATGACCCTGCTTGGCATAGCACAGAAGCTTTGCACGTATGCAGTTGCACTTAATAATTGGCATGTATTGCATTCAATGACTTGTCACTCCTGAGCTCAACAAAAACTTGCTTCTAGTCTACTGTCTTTTCAATGGAAAAATCAAAATGCTGTAAAATCACATTCATATACATGAGCAAATTTTCAAACCAGTGTTTATTGTTTTTATTCCATACCTGTAAAACACCACACAATTTTTGAAACCCTATGTATGTATGTGACTCTCAGTCTTCTGGTCCTTCGGAAATTCAGCTTTTTAGAAGTTGAATTATGACAACATGTACTTGAGTCTTTACTTTCAAGTTTCTGGTCCATTTCACAAAACTATGAAATTTGCCATTCTTTAGTTTTTACACTTATCAAAGCAGGTACAATGTGCAATGGTAGAACTGTAGATTTGGTGTTCATATGCAGTACAAAAATGTAGCTCTTAATCAAGTACATCAACTTTGTCAGGTTCAGTCTTCTGTGGTATGATATTGCTGAGTTCATAGTCCTGAGGCACTGCCAGGTACCCATTAAAGGTGATGTAGAAGTCTTTGCTGTCACTGAAGATGGCAGTTGTATTCCTGCCAGCCAGTCGGAGCCACACACGGTCTCCTTTGTCCAGCGGGAGCAGTGCAAATTGTGTCTGCATGATGCTGCGTCCACTGGACTGACTAAAGTTCATCACTTGCTTGTCCTCATTCTTCATCAGGTGTACGTACGATTCATAGCCATTGTACGTGTGCACAGTGTAGGAAAAATGGTAGATGCCGGGGATCATGCAGTAAAACACGCCTGTGTCGTTGTTAAAGTGCTGGTCTATGTTGACAAACTGGTGTTCAAAGGTGATGGTTTGGAATTTGTGATCCCCAAACATAGGAGATGCCCGTAGTGCAGAGAAGGCTGCCTGAGGTCGAGTAGCGTTTGGGGCTGGCGCTCCTCTTGGTCCTCTAGCTCCCTCCAGGCCAGGCGGTCCATGGCTCCCAGTCGGTCCCCTCACACCCACAGGACCAGGCCAGCCGGGGTCACCTGGGGGGAAACAGGGTTGCCAGTTTTTTTAGATGTGTACAAAACACTGGAGAAACAGATATGTCTCTGATACTGACTCGGAGGAAGAGGACCAGGATGGTTTGAGGTCAAATTTGAGTAAGTTGGCAACCCTGGTTCCCCTTTCCCAGGCAAACGGCAAAGTCAAGACATCTCAAGGCTGTGTATGGCCACTTAAGATGGAATACCGGTAATCGCTGATGAGAATCATTCTCTAGCTATATCATTCTAAACCTTCTCATAATGTAAAACAAGATTACACATTGTACATCTGATGATCAAACATCCTGGGAGTCAAGAACATTCTGATATGGGGATGGCGATATAGTAATGAAAGTTATGTTTATTTGTTGTTGTTCATGAATGCATGCCCTCTCAAGATGGCAGTGTTTTGTTACTAAATGGTGTTGCTTAATGACCTTGATCTCTATAGACAAGACCCTTGTACCCACCTTTATCCCCCTTCTCTGATGCCATGTGTTGAGGCAGAGCGATGATCTGAGGTCCTGGTGGGTTGTCCTGTGGGCAGCACCTCACACACTGCCCACTCTCGGGCGCCTCCGCAGACTGTTTCCCTTGGCCTGAATGTTTCCCCTGGCCAGAATATGACCCCTGGCCATAGATGCTGACCGCCAGGCAGGCTGGTATGATCAGGATTGTGTACAGGATGGACGTCATGGTGGGACTGGTGCTGGTGGTAGCTGTAGAATACAAGGACACATACTTTGGTGTAGCAGGATATTATGTCATTGTATAAGGTAAAGCGTTATCGAATATGTTGATGTGGAAATGGATGCATCTGAGATCCTGTGTCGGTTCAGAGGAGTGTGCCTTGTTAGTCATCACAGACAGCTGACCTAGACGAATATTTGCCTGCCCACTGCCATGGGAGAAATGCCCTGCTTCCTTTCCTATAGGACTCAGGAGGGTTGGAGAATTGACCTGGTTCAGTGGCCCAGCAATTAGCCCAGTGCCCCTGCCTATCAATTACAAGTACCCATCAACAGTCAACTTGTGGTTGTCAGCAAGATGTGAAGTACAGAATAATAAGTATCACAAAGATCATCAACCCATAGAGTTGACTATTATAAAGTTGTACATGGTCTTAACTTGCTGATCTCAAGTCAACTGGTCTTAGCAAGGGTGAGCAAGGATGTTATAACTTACTTGATCTGAATCATGAACTAGATTAGTTGATAGAGGTCCTGGACATGATCGTAATATCTGAGGTGATGCTTTACCACATTGAGGTAACACAGCTGTTGATAGGATAATTCTGTGATAATAGCTTGTAGCAGCATTATTCTTCAGCAGGACCTTAGCAGGAGGGGGCTTTAGCAGACTCGTATCTGGGGCTGAATAAATAGAGGTCTACTGTAGTAAAATAACATAAGCTGAATAATTCAACACAATTAGCTGGTCAGGGGAGGTCCAGTTCCCCGTGAGCTCAGTCTTTTTTGGCCAATTTCTTAGTTATGTAGGTCAGTCCCAAGAGGGGATGAACTGCCCAACTCTTTGTGGACTGCCCTGATTGTTGTACCTACAGTGACCATGCAGGGCTCTGGAATGTTTGGGGCCCCTGCAAGGTTTACATGTTCAACTAACCACAATACGGCTTGAAGTACTGTTTAGGTGTAACATTAGGTTGATGACTGGACATTAATCAAACCAGTCTACTGATGAAAAGGTCATGACCTTTATCTTCACTTCAGGACCCCTTCACTTCATTAAAAGACAGATGAGGTAAAGGCAGGAAGATTCTATGCATTGGATGAAATGTGACAAGAAACAGGCTATGGATGAAAACTGATAAGTATCAGTAACTCTCAGAGTCAAAAGCCAGCTGGCTTTGCCCACCAGTTGTGCTTGTGCTGATGCTGGTAAAACTGAAGGGAAGTCAGTCACTAAAATCCTAAATGTCAAACTTAGCCTGAGGAATGTACAAATGTACATGCAGACTTGGACAAGCAGTATTCTGCACCAACTACACAGAAGTCAAGTTTAAAGCATACAAAGGAAGTGTGAAGTTGCTGCAGAGCGCTTTTTCCACTTTCAACATGTATGAATTTGAATGAAAGCGAGCAAGACCAAGTAGAGTATGTTGGAGCAAATTGGTAAAAGAATCAAAGCATACCTTTTTTCAGAAGAGTCTATCACATCAGCTTGGCATGTCCAAGGATACAGAACTACACGAGGATTCTTGGTAAACTGATGCTTTCCCAAGCTTTATATCCAGCAGGAATAGAAAGTTACTAGAAGTGCATGCCAGCAGGGCATGCCACTAGTAGTTTCCAGATGACCCCACAGCAGTCTGGCTGAGAGAGACTGGGGGCCCCTATTTAGGCCTGCCTGCAGCCCACATGTGGTTCCTGTTACACAGCCCGCCTACCAGCTGAACTTGTCTGGACCATCTCATTAGGCTGTGGATGGGGGTCTGCAGGGTTCATTGTGCTCTTTTGGCAAAGAGTGTGGGTTTGGAAACTTGGTCTAAATGATTTACGTCGACAAGGAAGCCACTAAATATATTTATGGCTTTGAAAATATTTCCTATGGAAGGACTGTTTTCTTAAGGGCATCTATTAATAACAGTGCACATCTCTGCCCAGACCTGGGTCATGATGCCCCATCTGTCTGTTTGGTCTGTTGTTAAACCTGCCAGTTGACCCCTCCCCCCTCAGCTGACAGCCACATGGTATGTGGCAAGTTTGTTATTCACACATCCCTGTCTGTGTGATGCCCTCACTGGCAAGGGCCAGGAAAAAATACTATGTTGGTTCTCATCAATGGAGAAGCGGTCAGAGTCTGGTGGAATACCATTACCTAAAAGGTTAATTTGGACAGTCTTTCAGTTGCTATTGATATATTTACTAGCTGGTGTAGAAATACTAGTATATCGTTAATTTTTATGTCATTTGGAAAGAGGAAAGGGTTGACCATAACCACCTATTATATGGGTACTGACAAGTAACCACAAAAGCTCAACACAGATGGATGAGGGGTCATTGCCAGAAATGTCACACAGTTCCAGCATGTCGTGGATGCAAAGTCTCCAGACTATAGGTCAGAAGAAAGCAAAGAAAAGTGTGTCAACTGTCTGGGCAAACTACCAAGAAGTATAGTGGGCCCTTGCCCTCCTTCTTCTGTGCAAATAGAATCTATTCTTTATTGCTATTCACTGATGATTCAGGCTTGTTTTTTGGAAAGAAATTCTAGTACACATGTAAATGCCATGAACATCCTGTTTACAGAATCTTGTACAATATCAGAAATTAAAGTATTTGAAGAAGATGCTTCAGAGCTGCGTTTACTTTGATGTCTGGTTTGCAAGCTGTTGTATAATCAGTTTACACGAGGATAAAGGTGATTTACTGAAAGTTCACTGGAGGGGGAAGCTGGGGCAGAAAAGATGGAAACAGACCAAACAGTAAGATTTATGAACCTTTAAACAAGCCAGACTGTCATCAGACCCCAGTACTTAGTCAGATGATGAAGTAAAATGGCCAACAGGTGACTATGAGGGCATAATACATAGACACATTATATTAAAGACTGATAGGTTTTGCCCTTGTGTTGTAGATTGAAATAGATGAGATCTGCCTGTGTTACACAATCTGTCCCTGCCAGGGATAATTGGCTCTCTCAAAGGCCCAGTCAGTCAGGTGGGCAGGAGCATGATTTAGGCTAGAGGATCTCCTGTAGGAAGTTTACTTTTCAGGTCAGCTTTTTCTTCCCATATTGTTTATCAAGGCAGACTGCTGTGAATAAGCTTGCCAAAGTTGTCTGTCCAACTCCATAAAGAACATGGACAAAACTGTCTCTCTCTATTGAAATATGGTCCCTTTCCTCCATTAGCTGTGTAAATGTTTGGAAGGATTGGGGACTGTCAGCACTGTTCTAATTGGTTGCATTATTATGGGTGGGATTACAAAGGTCAAGTTCAAACACAGCTGTTAAGGCTGTACCAAACAAAGGTAATTAATGAACTTGAACTTAAGAAGTAAACTTAAGAACCCAACGCATGCCAAACCATCAGAAGTTAAGCATTCTTATCCCCCACATGCTACAGTACCTTGAGACTTGAGACCATGAAATGGATACAAGCTACATTTGTCCAATAATTCAACATGCTAATGATGAAGTTTTCCATCTGGTAGATGACACACAATTTCTGTTCCTCAGGCCACAGTGGCATGACCAACGGTCATCACAGCTACCGACCTCTGACCCCTGCAACATCTAAAACGTCCCTCCACCAGTCGGCCAGGTCGGAGAGTTCCCAGCATGCCATGAGTGAAGGGGTCATCGGGATTGTCGACATGTTTGGCTTTGAAGCATCAGAGGTGAGAAGAGTTACTTTACACAAAAGTTAAGAACTGGGCATCTCATCTTCCTTACTTTTTGTATGTGACTGTTAGTCATTTGCATGTGAAGCAAGGGACAGGGTCACAGGGTAGTTTGATAGCTCAGAACTTTACTAAGCCTATTGCAATAGTTTTGGATTTTCAAGTTTTATAAAAATATATTTGAAGTAGTAGTTGGCATACCCTGGGAGCCATCCTCGTCGCCGCGGGCCCAACGTTGGGTCGGAGGACCTAGGGGTTTTTCGTAATTACTATCAGCGCGCGGCCTAGAGGGTTTCCGCATGTGGTGCCCAGCGTAGGGCGGGGAGGGCGTGTGCCGGGGACGGGCTAACCAGGGCCCGCGGCGTTCACTAACTCTCCGCGACGACCAACGAGGATGGCTCCCAGGGTATAGTTGGCAATGATTCTTCCTCTAATGATAGCCTCATTTTGTGTCGTCTTTCAGTCAAACCAGTTTGAGCAGCTGTGTATGAACCTGTGTGCTGAGACCCTCCAGCATTTCTACAGCACACATGTCTTCAGGACCACACAACAGAGTGCCAGGTGAGCAGCCTTACTCATACACAACAGCTAGGTCTTTACTTCCAATAGGCCTTTCAATGGAAATAGAAGTAATGAAATCTGGGATGTCAGAAGTAAAATTGTCTCTGTTCATACCTCCACCACTACTATTAAGTTCACACGGTACTACAGAGTACTAAGGTATCTACACGGTACTAAGGTATCTACAGAGACCAAATGCGTGATATCCACAAAAATCCTTGGACTGTAACAAGTGTAAAGTGTATTTGTTGCTGAGTGCATGTTTGTCTCCATCCCTGCAGGGATGAGAGTGTGTACTGTGATGTGGAGATAGACTGCCAGGACAACGCCCCCTGTATCGAGCTCATCACTTGTCAGAGAACGGGGCTGCTCAGTCTGCTGGACAAGGAGGGGGCACACACCCAGAGTGCATCATGGGAAGGCTATCTCCAGAGGGTGGTTGAACAACATAACAGTCATGAATGGTTAGACCTGTTGTTTTAGTATAGTTATGATGCTAGCATCGTATTTATCTCTGCTAAATTGCATATACGTACTTTCATGTGATGAATACAATATATGCTTTTGTTGATGATATGTTGTAGTTGCCTGTAGTAAAAGTTTGTATTGTTCCAGTTTCTCCCAGCCGGAGTGTGAGGGTCCGGACACCTCCAGCTTCACCATCAGACACTTCACCGGTCCTGTCACCTACGACGCCTCCTCCCTCCTCCACACCAACAACGACACTGTCCCCGACGACATCATCTGTATCTTCTCTAGAAACAACTGCAACTTTGGCTTCGTCACCCATCTCTACTCCAATGAGCTGAAAGTACAAGGTGGGACACTGGTGGTTTTAACTACACTAGAATATTCCTTTATTCCAGTATACATTCATGTAATTGTTTCAATGTGCTGTTCACCTGCAATGTATTGAACCAAATTTACCAATAATGCCAAACATGATGTCAGTGGAAGCTAAAAGGCTCGAAAGTTAAACTTGATTACACCCATTTATTTTCCACAGGTGGGAATGGGCCTCAGGGCATGACACATCGCATTTCACCACCGATATCATCCGAATCAAATGGGTAAGACTTGTTGTACTCTCAACTATTCTGCTGAAGGGGTGTCATAGAAACAGAGATATTTTGTACTTTTTATCATGACTGGGAAGGAAGTGATGTTTTCAGTATTCTGGTAAGGCTTGGAGAATGATAATGCCTTAAATGTCAGAATTATCCATATGGCCTGCTTGTGTAAAGGCTAACAGTAAAATTTGTGCTGTGCTGCATTAATATTAGCACATTACTATTAGTATATTGAGGATAACTTCTTGAATGACTTCAAGCTTTTTGAAATGTCTATCAGCATTGACACATTCATTTTGTTTGCTTCCAGCCAACGGGAGGGCAGGAGAACCCTGTCCAGAGACTTCCAGACCAGACTGGACAATCTGCTGAAGACCATCGTCATGGCCAAGCCTCACTTTGTCAGGTGTATCAGGGTAAGTCCTCTATTGGATTACTGCCAGTTTGGGGATATAGAAAGATGTGGTCTGGTCACCATCAAAGGATGTAAACTCAGAAATGCATATACTAGCTATCAACACCCTGCTATTGTGGCACAAGCCCAAAGTGGTCCTGTGATGACAACATGGTTGATGCGTTGTTTGTTCTGACTGTCTGGACCCTTCCCTCCCACAGTCCAACAGTCAGGAGGAGCCTGAGCTGTTCACCAGGGACGTGGTGTGCAGACAGATCAGGGCCCTGCACATCCTGGAGACAGTCAACCTGTACGCTGGAGGTGAGGGGGATAATACACAATATTAATATACATGTATCTTGGCCATTTATTATGATGTGTTGGCAGGATGATGATAGGCAATATTACTGATATCATGGCCATTTGTGGCATCGTTGTATGGCTTCTTACCAATGGTAATAATGATGAGCTTCATTAGGCTGGTCTGGATCTGTTTTTCTTCATACCTGATTAATGTTCATTCCAAAGTGTACATGTGTAAACTATCAGTGTACAGGAGGTAACATAACATTTCACAGATGCCAAAGAGAGTAATTAACAGGCATATTGAACCTCCCCTCCAGGCTATCCCCACAGAATGCGGCTGAAGACGTTCAACAACAGGTTCCGATTCCTCGTGCCCTGGAGGAGACGAGCCAAGATGGAGGACATGCCGCAGGATGAGTGCAAGGTCAGTGGAAGGTCATATCATTACAACCAATCAGGCACTGCCTCAGGACGTTTGTAAAGTGGTTGGGTATACTGTATTGCATTGCTTGAGTTTACTTTTATTTGTTTTACTTCGATAGGTACTAAACCACTCCCAACATAATGTGAAACTTGACGTCTCTTTCCAAACGTGTGTTTGGGCCATTTCAATCTAGAGTGGTTGAACTACATTTACCTCAAAATCTTGATTACCGTTTCTTTGTATCCTCATCATATGATTGCTGTAACATTATGGTTACTGTTTCTGTATTGTAACATTATTTTATCCTTTTCTTGCAGCTGATTCTGGATGGGTTCCTCCAGGCAGTAGACAGCAGTGACCTGCCCTACACCAGTGCTAACTGGGCCATCGGCAAGAAACACATTTTCCTCAGGTGAGGCCTGTTTGACTTACCTTGTCTGCACAACACAAGGCAAGACTACAAGTATCATGAAAGTTCATCTGTGTTGGTAGTTAACTGTGTTACATGTTTAAAGTTAAAACTTTTGATCGAAAGTTATAACTTTATACACAGGGCAAGACTGGTTCTTTTTCGTCTTATTTCCTAAAAAATTTGAACTGACTTTTGCAATAGAGATACTTAATTCTCTAAATAGCACACTTGTGAATGACATGCTTGCTGCCACATGACTGACCCTGCCTGTCTGTGCCTGTCCCAGTGAGGGAGCGAGGCAGCAGCTGGAGAATGTACGGGACATCAGGAGAGACCAGGCCGCCACCCTCATCCAGGCCTACGTCAGGCGGAGGCTGTGTGTCAAGAAATGGCCGTCCATACGGAGGTCCCTGGAGCTGAGGAAAAGGGCGCGGTCCAGGTCAAGGTCACGCAGCAGATCAAGGTCACCTCACAGGTATGAAGGTTAACCTGTCTTCAGGCATTTGATACAGATGTTTTATAAGTTAATACATTAACTTCACCTGCTGACACTGAGCGCTTTGCTATTTGGTGAAAAGTTGATCTTAACTGTTACTCAAGTTCTTCATGTGTTGTCTTCCAGTGCCAGGAATCGGCCCCAGCCTATCCCAGTGATGGAGAACAACCACGACCGCTGTGATACCAAAACTATCCAGCAAACCTGCTGCCTGTACGGCATGGACATGGTAAGACTTTTTATCTGAGCTGCTTTTCACCTTTTTCTTATTATTAACACTTTGATTACTAGTATAGTGATGTGAAGGATTTCAGTCACTGCTTATTTGAACAAAATCTGTACTGACCATGGCAGAAGTCAGTTGAATAGTCATGATTAAAGCCTTGGTTCCTTGTTAGTACATGTATGTTTCTTTCATCCATTATGTAGTTAGTATCCTCTGTGTTGTACTGTACCTGTACTGACAAAGTTTTCCCCTCCTGCCTACAGGACTGCCCTCCCCCCGTCCCTCCCAGCCGAGGCTACACCGTCAACGGCAACATGAAGATGAGCTTTCCACAGATGAGGGTGATGAAGCAAGGCTACCCTGGTGAGGACTTGGTTTTATATGTGTGTGTCCTTGTTACCATGACAATCTCTATTTTTATTTCAATCTGCTGGTATGGCCGCCACTTGACATAACAAATCAGTTTTACAAGCATGTGGTGGCAGTTGTTAATATTATATTGAATGGAACAAGCACCACCCTGTGCTTTGTAAGTGGTATAAGTGTTTGAAGAAGTCTTTACGATATTTATTTTTCTTCCCTAGAAGATGGAGGGAAGTCAGATCGGGTGTTGCGTAAAGGTGACTCAGTGAAGGTTGTTGGAGTGTCTCCGAGGCGGGGCTACCTGATCGTGGAGCATTCTAACACAAAACTGCACGTACCGTACCAACTGATGGAGCTACGAACCACCAACGGCCTGGCAAAGGCCTGCTGACACACACATGGCCTGCAAGGAACCTTTGTATAGAACCTACCAATCATACTACTACCTGGTAGTTTTAGGAAATCCAAATAGTGCTAGAGTACATTGTAGACCAAAATGTGGAAATGTTGTTACAGTATCATTTTGCATGGATTAGTTATTGTGCTTTAATTAGTATGTTTTGTGTCTCAATTGAGATGTTATGGTTTATGTTGATACTCTTGTTTCCTTGCAGACCATGTAGTACCTGGTATTCATCATTTGTTGCATTATTTAGAAGATTTCAGTAAGCATGTGGATGGTATTTTATTGGCAATGAAACAGAGATTGGTCACGTGAACTTATTGGTCAGTATAATATTGTAATCGACCTTATTGATGACTTCCTCAGTACATGTAATTTGTGATTATGTGTCAGCTTAAAAAGCCACAGTCTACAGAAACATAGCTACATTGTAGGCGTGAAGACTTAACAAGCAATGAGTTCCTCTAGTGTCTTGAGCTGTACAACAGACCACTGGAGGGTCTAGACTGTTGTGGAAGGGATGTTATCAAAGACGAAATAAGTACAAAGTGTACACAGCTTGAAGGAGCTCATCAAACTGTCATTGTTGATGTCAGTATTGACAATTTGTTCAAGGGGTGATGCCAACAGACATGAAGGAACTTAAGACAATGGAGATCACAAATGGTGACAAGTCTTTGAGAATAAGGTATTCCTTGAATGGCAATTACTGGTATTTCAACAAGGGCAGAAATGAAGTCTGGAGAACTGTACAGACATGTAAAGCCATGTGTAACTTATATGCCAGTAATGTACATATATGTTGAGTAACATACAGTAGTATTAGATTTTCAGTCTACATCCATTTTACTCATAGGAAGCTAGATTTTAACTAATAAGACTGATCTTAATGTCTATGTACATACCTTGTACAGATCTTTTGTATAAAACTATTATTGTACATATAAAACTTGTGTAAAATGCCTAACGGTACAAACAGTAGTTATAGCCACTTGGCAACAACATGTTCACTTGGTTCTTGTTATTTATTTTCATACTATTCCTCAGCACTCCATAGGATGTGCTGCCTTACTGTAACACAATAAAGTTCTATTCTTAAATAAAAACGTCTGTGTTGGTCCATCGGTGAAATGAGTATAGAAAAACACAGAGAAATTACCAGCAAAGGCAGGCTATTTTCTCCATAGGGTACACTTTCCTTCCTGCTTCTATACCAGCACCTGCAGCACCTGTCTCACACGCTCCAGCTGGACAGCTGACACGGTCTCACCTGTACATGAAAACATGAGAAAACATCTACTCACAAGATTGAATGAGACTTCTCTTGTTCTTGTTTAGGTGCTCACAAGATTGAACAAGAATCCTCCTGTAGTTCTTGCTTAGGCGTTCACAACGTTAACTTCAAACAGGCTTGCCCCGTACCTGTTACTTCCTCCTCCCCGTGTTCCTGACCCTGCAGGAGTTTCTCCGCCTCGGCGACAGTCGTCTCCCTCCCCTTCCCCTGCAGACCAGCCAGGTACTCCAGCAGGATGGGGAAGTCTTCATCAGACACCTGCAGACACCATAGAAACATGTATAAACAGACATTAACCAACCTCACCAAGTTGTTACAAACGTACATACACAACTAGATTTGAAATCAAAACCTGGCAATAAACAGAGCTCTTGTTAGTGTCATTAGCTACACCTACAACCCACTGGCGTATGGTCCTGTACAACATAAATCTCTATCTGTACAGCCAGTCTAACGACCCCTTGGTGTGCGTTGTACCTTGTCTGTGTTGTACATGTTCCTGAGCAGCCACACCTGTCGCACCTTGCGGAACACCCAGTTGGGCCGATCCGACTTCCACGTCTGCAGGTACACAGAGCCCAGGTGGACAACAGACTCTTTCTTCTCCTCTTCTTTTACAACTAATTGTGGCAAAATAGTATATTTGAAAAATGAAATGACCAATAAGGCAAAGCATTTTCCACAAAAAAAGACATTTCAGTTGATGCTTAGACCACACCAATTTGATTTGTTGGTTCTCTGATTTTTTTTTTCAGAAAAAATATTACTGATGAAGTGACAGGGTGAAAAAAAAACAGACCTTGGCATCCTATGATAGCCCCAAATGCTACAAGAGAAGCTATGAAGTCAACATACAAGGCTGGTTTATAATAAAAACAAAAGAATTTTGAACACTTAGGGTGAAATAACTAGGAAGACATAGATTTTCATCAACTGTTTGAGCCAAAATATGAGCATAAAATTAAGTGGGCCAACCTGGGAACCAATGGATTAAGTTGGTGTGGCCTTACTGGTATGTTGCAATTTATTTACCTGGCTCTTGAGGTAGTGCTGACTTCTTGGCTTCTTTCTTCCTCATTTTCTTCAACTTTCTCTCCATCTTCCTGACCTCCTCAGGACTTAGTTCCTCCTGCTCATCTTTATCTTCACCTCTCTCCTCCCCAGGTGTCTCCATCTCTTCCTTCGGTTGAAGATCTGCATCTTTTCCTCTACTCCTACTCTCCCCATCACTACTTCTGTCTTGTTTTCTAGGAATCTTTTTCTTGATCTGTTGAACCTTTTGACCAGAGTCATCTTTGCGTTTCTTTCTGTTCCTTTGTTGGGTGTCCGGATTTCTCCTTGTGGTGCCATCATCCATCTGGGACTCATTCTCTACTTTATCATCAACTCTATCCTTCTGTCTTCTTTTCTTCTTTCCTTTACTCCTTTCTGAAGGGTCAAAGTTCACAGCTTCTCCAGAAGACAATAGTTTCTGGGGATCTGTCTTCATGATTTTTCCCTTTCCACAAAGTTTCAAGATTCCACAAACACTGGGTCCCGAACTCGGATTACTCTTTGAGTGCTTCACAATTGTAGGAACCACGAGGAAATCTATTTGGCACAGAGATTAAATGTTAGACCATTCGTCTTAGACAACATCATGTCATAAGCCGCTGTAACAGTGGCCTTATGTGTATAACGTTTACTAGCTTACATACGAATACATTCGTAAAAGGGGCTTCCTGAGTCGCCACGACTAGGCACAACCGAGCGTACGCTGCGTTATGACTCCCATGTTATTGGTGACTTGATACTTTGGAACAAGCGACAGATAAAAACAGGATTGGACAACGTTCACATGTTGCTGAAAAAATTATTCAGAGGTAGAAAAGCCCCCCTCCCCCATCATGCACTTGTAGTAGCTAGCTCAGGCCGAGAAAGATAAACGTTAAAAAAACTTCCTCACCACAACTGGCGCTTGCTGCTGCAAGCGTCCTGCTTTCAAGAAGTTTAAATTTTTTACGATGACTTCTCACAATCTCAGTAAAGATGTAAAGTCTTCAAAGTACCAGTCTGCACACGTTTCCCACAGTGCTGGTAGCCATTTTGCCTGGGCTACTGTTCATGGTTCAAAAGCGCCGTCTATTGGCTAAAATATTATTGCAGGGCATGCTTCAAGTGGTGCCTTTCGCAAGCAGAAGTGGGTAGGGAGTGATTTCCAAGCAGATACTGGGGTACCCGGGTGGCAAGAGATTATATAAGGAAGATTGTGCCCTTTTTTGTCATGCCGTTTTCTGTTTCTACTCCTGAACAATCATCCTCACCGACCTCTGCACACGATTCAAAAGCTATGCCTATTTAATGACTTCAGTAGATTTTCTTTTCATCTATAACTCGCCTCTTTCTTTCAGCTTGGTACACAAGTTAAGGCATAAAGAGAATTCTCAGCTTGGTTTTAGTACTTCAATCAGCCAGTGTCATCTTTAGCGAAGCGTTAATCATTACTTGACATGTTTACACGGAAATCAACAAGACTTGCGATGCTAATGACATCTTTACAACTGCGTCAAACAATTTTATCATTTATTCTTCGGCAGTTCCCCTTCATCGATAGGCACAGAAAACACTTGTCCATATGATAACTCGATATAATTCTTTCTGGAAGATGTGGGTGGCCCTGAAAAGGGCCGGGGTGTACTGGTCGGGCGGTCAGGCAGTTTACTTGGAGCTGGTGTACTTGGTGACGGCCTTGGTGCCCTCGCTGACGGCGTGCTTGGCCAGCTCGCCAGGCAGCAGCAGACGCACGGCGGTCTGGATCTCCCGGCTGCTGATGGTGGAGCGCTTGTTGTAGTGAGCCAAGCGGGAAGCCTCGCCAGCGATACGTTCGAAGATATCGTTGACGAAGGAGTTCATGATGCCCATGGCCTTGCTGGAGACACCGGTGTCGGGGTGCACCTGCTTGAGGACCTTGTAGATGTAGACACCGAAGGACTCCTTTCTCCTTCTCCTCCTCTTGCCCTTGGCTCCAGCGGGCCTGGCCTTACCGGCCTTCTTGGCAGCTTTTCCTCCACCTTTGGGCGGCATTTTCCCTCTATGCGGTTAGAACAGCGATTGAGAATGATGGCATACTGAGCTCAGTTTATTTATACAAGAGTTCATGCAAATTTTGTGATCCCATGGTAAATACCGCGGACGTGATAGGAAGCAGTAACGATGTATAATTAACCTGAAGTATTGGGTGAACAGTAAATGCTTCCTTTTTTCTCCATACTACAATAAGGAATATAGATTGTGGGCTTTTTCCGAGGCAGCGAAATATTCTATTTCTTTTTTTTGTTATTACTTCATTCACTAGTTCTTTTCCTTCAGCAGTTAGTTCAGACCTGGTCGAGAGCAAGAGGCAAAACTAATGTGCTATTGGTGGACGCGGAAAGGCACTTGTGCTCCTATTGGTTACACAAACAGAGCCTTCAATCCTTAAGTTTGGTACAAATTTGTAGAAACCCTGTGTTGTACTATTTTGGATAACTGAAGGTATTCCAAGAGAAATATAATGTCTGGACGTGGTAAGGGAGGTAAGGCTCGTGCAAAGGCCAAGAGCCGATCATCCCGTGCAGGGCTTCAGTTCCCTGTCGGCCGTGTGCACCGTTTCCTGCGCAAGGGCAACTATGCTGAGCGTGTCGGTGCCGGCGCACCAGTCTACCTGGCCGCCGTGCTGGAGTACCTGACCGCTGAGATCCTCGAGTTGGCCGGCAACGCTGCCCGTGACAACAAGAAGACCAGGATCATCCCCCGTCACCTTCAGCTGGCCGTCCGTAACGACGAGGAGTTGAACAAGCTTCTGTCTGGCGTGACCATTGCCCAGGGAGGTGTCCTGCCCAACATCCACGCCGTGCTCCTGCCCAAGAAGACTGCTTCCAAGTCCAGCTAAATATTGCCCGAAGAATAGAACACCCCGGCCCTTTTCAGGGCCACCCACATCCTTCCAAAAGGACTATCGTTGATCACAAGTCATATCAGTGCTTAAGATTCTTTGATGGTTTTGTCTGACAACCGTCAATTTTTTTTCCCACCAAACCCAAAAAAAATTCAGTGCAAAAGAGAAACCCCGATAAAAAAGCCTAAAAACACACTAAAAATACCCCCAAAACCCAAACCTCTGCTTGGAGAGTAGTATCAGTCTTAAATTATTTAGTATGTCGTGGTAAATTTGAGATGTTGTAACCCATATTTACAGTGACAGCAGCAGAGAAATATGTATGCCGTATCATAATTTGCTACGTGGCGCTTGTCCCTGGCTCGCCTCTACCATTCACTACTCATTATAACACTAACACGAGTGTATATACGTTTGAATTAGCCAGGGACTTTTCAATGTCCTAGTCAACATAACTATTCATGAGGTGTTACGGTACAGTTCTTTCGTAAGATTTGGGTGGCCCTGAAAAGGGCCGGGGTCGTCGTTCGGTGTGAGATAATCTAGCCGCCGAAGCCGTAGAGAGTGCGGCCCTGGCGCTTCAGAGCGTAGACAACGTCCATGGCGGTGACGGTCTTGCGCTTGGCGTGCTCGGTGTAGGTGACGGCATCACGGATGACGTTCTCCAGGAAGACCTTGAGGACGCCACGGGTCTCCTCGTAGATGAGACCGGAGATACGCTTGACACCACCACGGCGGGCCAGACGACGGATTGCGGGCTTGGTGATGCCCTGGATGTTATCACGCAACACCTTACGGTGACGCTTGGCGCCTCCCTTTCCAAGACCCTTGCCTCCTTTGCCACGTCCAGACATGTTGTTCGTTCTGAAAATGAATGCTTCCACTATATTGCTTGAGAATATTAAAACGACTGTGCGGACCTCGGCGGAATATCTTGCGCGCGTATGAACCAATCAACAACTAGTATTCTGAACTAGCCAATCAAGGATAAGGTTTTATCAACTGCCAGAGTCTGCGCAACAGGCCGCAATAATTTTACCTCCAAGCAGATGATAGGGTAGAAAATATGTAGCTTCTTTCGACTTAGGGTAGCCTGTGTATACAAGCTCTCGGCCGGAGGTTAATGACCCCCACGGCAACCTAGGGCGGCGGCCGCCAGGAGCGCGATTTAGTCAGGCTAGACTTAGGGTATCTGAGCTCTTTTAGGGTATAGCTTTTATTGTACTTTGCTATTATCTTAATTGTATTTCATTTTATCCAATCTTGCTTTATTGGAGATTTCATATTAGTGTCCTGATCCAGAAAACATATAAGATATATAAGCTGACAAGAAAGCACGGCTGCCAAGACTAGGCTTTTATTGACTTCATTGAATCTTTGTTGTCTAAATGTGGTGCATGCAAACAACTTGGTGAACAACACAGTTCTTTCTGGAAGATTTGGGTGGCCCTGAAAAGGGCCGGGGTGTACTGGTCGGGCGGTCAGACAGTTTACTTGGAGCTGGTGTACTTGGTGACGGCCTTGGTGCCCTCGCTGACGGCGTGCTTGGCCAACTCGCCAGGCAGCAGCAGACGCACGGCGGTCTGGATCTCCCGGCTGCTGATGGTGGAGCGCTTGTTGTAGTGAGCCAGGCGGGAAGCCTCAGCGGCGATACGCTCGAAAATGTCGTTGACGAAGGAGTTCATGATGCCCATGGCCTTGCTGGAGACACCGGTGTCGGGGTGCACCTGCTTGAGCACCTTGTAGATGTAGACACCGAAGGTCTCCCTCCTCTTTCTCCTCCTCTTGCCCTTGGCTCCAGCGGGCCTGGCCTTACCGGCCTTCTTGGCGGCTTTTCCTCCTCCTTTGGGCGGCATGGTCTGTCGGTATCAGTGAGCTGCTGCGAAATGGTGACCAAGGGGAGCACAGTGCTCTTATACTCAATCTTATGCAAATTTTGGGATCGCAACGTGTATGCATTGCGGACGTGGTAGGAAACAAGCAGCTGGTGCAACGTGATTAGCCGAGTCGCATCTATAACGTTAAAGTTTTGAGAGTACGTGAACTTTGGGCACACAAACGTCCTTCTGTATATGACCCAATATGTATATATTCGTTGGCAACTTGTGACTGCATGTGAAACGACGTGTTCCAAGGAATAAACGAATGAAGACCTTTATTGTATGAATCACTATCATCATCACATATCGCCTTGCCCCCTAGCCGTGGCGACCTTTGATTCGGGCTTACATTGCATTACCCTTGCAGAGGGTAATGCAATGTAAGCCCGAATCTAGCCGTATGTACCCGGCATTATCATGCAAAAAGGGTTACAGAGTCGTCCACGGCTAGCCCGAATCAAGCTAAGAGTCGCCACGGCTACTTGCCCCTCATTTGTAACATCAATCGATCAATCAATACCCTTTTTTTTTACCCTAACATGCATTTCTTATACTTTAAAAAAAAGTCCAAGTGAATTTTTTTGGAATGCACATGTACGATGTAGCAAAAAGTGGCCAACATAGCTCTTTCTAGGAAAATTGGGTGGCCCTGAAAAGGGCCGGGGTTACTTGGGTCAGGCCGGGTGTTTAAGCACGCTCGCCACGGATACGGCGGGCCAGCTGGATGTCCTTGGGCATGATGGTGACGCGCTTGGCATGGATGGCGCACAGGTTGGTGTCCTCGAAGAGACCGACCAGGTAGGCCTCGCTAGCCTCCTGCAGAGCCATGACGGCAGAGCTCTGGAAGCGCAGGTCGGTCTTGAAGTCCTGGGCGATTTCCCTGACCAGGCGCTGGAAGGGCAGCTTGCGGATGAGCAGCTCGGTGGACTTCTGGTAACGACGGATCTCCCTGAGAGCCACGGTGCCGGGCCTGTAACGGTGAGGCTTCTTGACACCCCCGGTGGCCGGAGCGCTCTTGCGAGCGGCCTTGGTGGCCAGCTGCTTCCTGGGGGCCTTACCTCCAGTGGACTTACGGGCGGTCTGCTTAGTACGAGCCATTTTCTGATTTCCTCGATGTGTTTCACGAAAAAATTGTCGTTAGCGCCAGTTTCTTCTCTTTATACTGTACGGAACAAAAGGGCCACGGTGAAAGGGCAGATCTGATTGGTCAGAGTCTTTCGCCTGATTGGCTTAGGAGCAGAGTACTCTGATTGGTTCCAAATGTAGCATGTGAAAGTGACGACTTTCACTTCTGCGTATTCTCTTTGCCTGCTCTTTAGCTTGCATTGTACCTGTTAGTATAATCAAGGAGGTTAAAAATGCAAGGAGGTTAAAGTTTGTATCCTCCTTGAGTTTGTATCAATCCTGAATACACATTTCGTTGAGTAGTCTGTCCTATCAGACCCTCCTTATTAATTAGGGTGTCGAAAAGTTCTGCAAATAGGTCAAACTATTATCTGCCTGCATGTAACTCTCAGACAGGACAAGTGTGAACATTTTTATTGCGTCCGGAGGACAGAGCCCAATGCAGTGGTATCAACAAGGCCTGGAAAATAATTTTGAAAAGAAGGCAAGGGTCGCGGTCGCGCCCTTTCGTCGGTTTCTTGCCTGTCACACTTTCTTTCCAACAAGGGGAAAGTTGGTGACAGGTGTTGTTTATCTGCATGCATTTTATGAAGTTTGAAAATGTGTACTAGTTCTATAAAGAAATAAATATAAACAGACTTAGCATTGAAACTAATTAGAGACGAAATTAATTTTTCAGAGTGTACATGATATAGTCCTTTTTGGATGAAGTGGGTGGCCCTGAAAAGGGCCGGTATTGTTTTGGTCTTTACCGCTCACTTCTTGGCTGTCTTCTTTGTGGGCTTCTTCGCTGCCTTTTTGGCGGCTGGCTTTTTCGCTGCTTTCTTGGCAGGTTTGGCCTTCTTTGCAGCTGGTTTCTTTGCTGGCTTTGCCTTCTTCGCTGCAGGTTTCTTTGCCTTCTTCGGGGTCTTCGCCTTCTTGGGCTTGGCAGCCTTCTTGGCCTTTGGCTTCTTGGGCTTAGCTGCCTTCTTCACCTTTGGCTTCTTGGGCTTGGCAGCCTTCTTCGCAGCAGCGCTGATCTTGAAGGAGCCAGAGGCACCCTTACCCTTGGTTTGGGTAAGGGCTCCACTGTCCACCATGCTCTTCAGAGACCGCTTCAGGACATGTCCCTGCTTCTCCACATCAAACTTGTAGTTGGCGGCCACGTACTTCTTGACAGCTGCGAAGGAAGAGCCATTGCGTTCCTTCAGGGATGCGATAGCAGCCGTGATCATGGTTCGGCTTGGTGGATGAGCCGCAGGAGCCTTGGGCTTCCTGGGCTTGGTTGCCTTCTTCGGAGCGTCAGTCATTTTCAACAGGGTTTGGGATTACTCTGTGGACGAGAATTGCCGAGAGGGGAGATCAGCTGTTGTATATAGAAGTCGTGCGGACCTGCTAGGAAGCACCCCATATTTCCTGTTGAGTGCTGCGAGAAAATGGCTTCCCGAGTCTCTATCTGTGTTTGTGTGCCCAACTTGGAGCAGAGTTTCTGAGCATATGAAGAGGTTGACACCGATCTGAATGGTATAGATGGATAGTTAAGAGTATGGTCTTTCCGATCTGTGTGACTTTTTATGTGTGTCGTGGTTTTGATGACAGTAATTTGGCTGTTTTGTGAAGCGATAGCACTCGTTAAAACCGGTACCTTGTGAAAACTGGTGTGTCGTTACAAAATAACTGTTTTTAATGGGTTATCTAATACTTTCATAGAGAAACAAAACTATCAGGACTTCAATGCATTGAAATTTCAAATTTCTTGCCGTTCTACTGTGGTAAAAATCACGCCAAAAGTAGTGGACCTCGAACACATTTGAGAAGTGTCATGGCGGATTTTGGTATGCAAACATTCCAAAGCTTGGTACTTGGTTCGACCAGGATACGACGAAAAGTACTTCTGATTGATATATTGATCGAGAAGAAATATGTAAGATAAATGGTCGAATACGTAGGGTTAACTAGGCTGAGGGAAACTTCGGCAATTCCTCTCAAAATACCCCCAAATCCAACCAGCTTCCCTGCACCACTTGTGTATGCAAATTTGGGCAGTGGGTCAACTGAACCGGACCAGATGTAGAGACTTTCCCTCTAGAAAACCGTTTCAAATAATCTTAAAAATTTATTCTGTAGAATAAACCCATACAACTCATGTTTTTATTATGCTTGTCTGCTGATAACGATAGTAAGGGACTGGAAAGGGCTGGTCGCCTCGTTGCTAGGGAACGACCAGGTTGAGGACTGAACCTGCCCAAGCCACCGGTAGACGCCCAACACCAGTCTCCATTTCTTTGTATTCCTTGCTTTTACCATTATCCCTGCTGAATATTAATACTTAACCGATTTTATAACAAGGTCTGTTGAAAGATAAGTCTTAGCAAAAAGCTGCCTAAATTTCATACAGGAGTATGTAACAAAAGTGTTACATTTCTCAAATTTTCTGTATCTGCCCACGGAGGTTAAAATGAAACTCCATGATCTGCCCAAGGAGTTTCTAGTAAAATATCTCTGACCCGGTCAAATTGTTGCATTATATATATTACCCCTACAATAGTCAGTCACTGCAAAGTTTTTTTAGTGCATTGCCGTATACATGTAACATTATATATTTAGTTTAATAGCCGTGTACTAGAGGTAACTAATCTATTGTTTGCAAAGGAATCAATCCTACATACAAAATCTCCTTGATGTGACAAATGGGGAAAATTGAAAGATTTACAAACATTTGTGTATTTTCTACACATTATTGCAATTCTCTGGACTCCACCCGTGCTCCACCCTCATTGCAACCAATTCATTCATTGCAGTATTCGCCAGAAAATATCAATTTGAAATCATTATTGTATTTGTCTGATTGTCAGTAGCACATATACATTTTGTAGTTTTATCACTGGATTGGGTACACAATAAACTCTATACTGTTGCCTGGATCAGCTTCATCGTGTATGACTGGTAAGTCTACCACACGATACATGCTGTTCTGTGCCCTCCCCACATACACCTTATCTGTAGTATTGCCAGCTGCCCCTTTGTACCAGAAGTACACATCAAAGCTGGAAGAAGAGACTTGTGGGTACTCCCACTGAAGGGTGGCACTGAAGAGAACTGTTTTAGCTGCCATGGAGTCACCAGCTGGAGTTGTAGCAGTGAGATGTGGTGACTTTTTCCAAGAGACATCCCTGCAGGTTACATTGGTGATGGTTGATTTCTGATTTTTTTCCAGATCTCCAGCATTCATTATCTGGAACATAAGTCAATGTAAGTTGAAATCAGTTGAAATACATGATGTATTTATGCCAAAAATACTACATAGTCTATTCCATCTTGAAAGTGCAACCTTCTATAGATATGGAGTATAGGGGCAATCAGGAAATCATACGCCATGGTCACATCTTCCTGCCTCAAAGTTTTGTACTGCATATTTTCTGACATATTTCAGGGACTTTTTAATGCACAAGTTTTTCACACACAAATTTTCCATGTACAGAAGACCCATTCCAAAACTGAAGAGTTACCCTGATTTCTCCCAGTCTAAGGCACACTTCTTCAGTGTCCCCTTCCACAGTCCCTGTCCTCGAGTACTGAAGGTTGATTCCTTCAATCATACATTCTGTTCCAGTGTCATCTGTCAGCATGTAGAACCTAACAGAATAGGAGATAATGTCACAATCATTTCCCTTGGTGTTTAACACTTGAAAACAGTATCACCACTACTACTACTACATGTACTTATGGTTACGAATTATTGAAAATCACTATGCCTGAATGTTATACTCCCACTATATACAACTTGACAAGATTAAAAGACTTAACACTTCTTAACTGATGCAAGTTGCACACTACTTGATGATACATATGTAACTTATATACATGTATTGGATAGCATGTTTTCCGTACCTTGTCCACCAGCCCTGCTCTGCTGTTTCCTCTCTGGTACACCCAAAACATTCCTTGTACAGCCTGTCACACTCTTTCTCAGGAAGAGCGATGAAGTACACTGCTTGATCTGTGGAATTGTCTCCAGTATTGTTCCTGATAGATGTTTTATCAATGGTGTCTGTAAAAACAAATTCAAGATCCTATTTATTGAAAACTGGAATTACACTTTCCGTTATGTTCATACTTAATTCGTGTATGTTGAGAGGAAAGGAATTTCAGTGGGACACAAGTACAAAATTTAGTGCCTAGGTCCCCCAACATAACTTCAAAAACGGTAATATACCACTTCAATCCATGGGATATATCTCGACTCCAATAGAATCATACCAACCTCCATCCCCCTCCATAAGGACCCACTGTTTGGTCTGTCCTGTGGTCCTGAGAATCAGGTGCACAGCTGCATGGTCAGCACCTGTCTCCCACTTGAAGGTGTAGCTGACCAGGAGAGGGGACTGGACTGGAATTTCTGAGCTGAACAGCCTGAAAAGTAAAAATCATCACATAGCAGTGGGACTATTACCCTTACTGTATGGAGTTCACCATACTGTTGTGTACAGAATAGAGCAAAAGCTGCTAATTGGGTTTGATATGCTATGGTGTGTTTTGCACATTAATTTGAAGGAAAGGTCTTACCTGAAAGACAAGGCATCACAAGCATGTGCAAAGTTTCCCCCCAAAAGCAGGCTGCCACCACCATGGAAGGCATCCTTGGTACAGACACGCATGGTTCTATTTTCTCCTGTCTGGTCTTTTCCCTGAGAGAACTGAGCTGAGGTAAATGTTGTTTGGACCTGCTGACAACTCAGGTTGTACCACGGGCCTCTCCTGGCAACCTGCATGCGTAAAATAAAGCATGACGTGCACTGAGTACAACTTCCTGAATGGTGCTTGGAACTTCTGTCAATCATCATTCTCCCCACATGCCAGCTGTTCCTTCTAGGTAAAGATGGCACATTGCTTAAAAGAAAATACCAGTCTTTATTTGTGTATTGCCATAATGCTAATCTGATGGTGTCTGTACTAATATTGCATTCAGAAACAAGAGTGGAAATGAATGCCGGTAGGAACAAACTTCATGTAAGCTTACCTGACCATTGATGTAGAAGTTTTGGCCTTGTCCCTGGCAGAAAGATGTTACAAAAGGCAGTGCTGCAGGTCCATGCATGGGACATAGGTCAGACAAAAGGTCCCAAAACCTGGTGACATTACAGATGGTAGCAAAAGTTACACTCAAATATTATCCACAAATTGGTGATGACCAGCATAACATAGAAAAAAATGTCTTGTCTATTAGCTCTTCAAAGCTAAAAGCGAAGCCAGACTTGTTCATCTCAAATCAAAATCACCTACTTGTTCTGGTTAGTAGAAAAATTATCAGCTCCAAGCTTTTCAAGCACCCAGCCTGGAGCAAAGACAGCTGCTGATAGACCTTGTTTCCTGATGACAGACAGGGCCTGGAAAATAAATCACAATTACATGCAAAGCTGGAACAAAGGTCAGAAAACAAGACAATTTCTGTTTTATACTTCAATTGATAATTACATGTATGTACCTTGTTGCTGTTGAAGCCCCCTCCACCATAGCAGTTCCTGCCAAACACATCCACACCAACGTACACATCATGTTGTCGCTCTCCTGCCATCTCTACAGAACGCTGAAGGCCATCTTCTTTCCAAGTGTAGTTCAGGAATATCCCATCACAGGAGTCAAAAAATATCCTACATTAAAAACAGATACATGGTCTGTGCATATTGCAATTTACCAGTTGATTAATTAATGTATAGGATAGACATGTACAGGTTGCGTGTATGGGCAACACTTTTGCTGATAAAAAACCATACAAAAATGGACTTTACTTTGAAACAGAAGCATAGTATGTGCCTAAGTTTTCAGTGCTATGAAAAAGACAACCTTTCAGTACCATGGACAGCCACGGTCTGCCTTCATGATCAACAGAAGCTTTTGGTACATCTAAGTGACTCTAGTTTTGGAGTGATGATACTCCTACTGTTCTTGGTAACAATGAGTTCCACTCTATGATTGTTCTATGAAAAAAGAAAAATACATGTGTACCTTCTTAATGATTGTTAAAATTAAGGCTAATAACTGTAGAGGAAGGGCCCAAGAAAAAAGTAGATTTCATGCCCTTCCTTGCATGTCTTTTTATAAGTGCATTCTAACAACATCATAAACAATTGTTAAACCTGTTCTTGTCGTTGAGCTCATCTTGCCACTTGAGTTCCCCTGTGGTGATAACGCTGTCATACCAGATGACCTCACTCCCCTGTACAGCTGTGTGCATCACCTCAGTCAGGTAGGACACAAAGCCGACCAGGGTTTTTACCTGTGGAGCCTGCGTTGAAGAAAGCAACATTAGATACTGACGAAACTTTGTTCTAAGGATACTTTTCAAAATCAACTTACATCTATCTGTCAGAAACATATATAACAGTTACTGCTGTACACTGTGGGCAAGAATATTTGGAATATTCCTATTGCCATATCCCTAGCTGCATTCAGAGATATTACATTCCAAATGTGTACATCGACATCTAGAATGGAGGAGAACACACACAAGCAGTATGTTCCCCCAGTGTTGTTGTCTTTCCACTTTCCTCTCTATAACACCACACCAGTGTTATCCCTAACTTTTTTTTTTTACCTCTAGAGGATTCTCTATGTTGATGAGCCAACCATCAAAGTTGTAGTGCTGAGCCATCTGTGCCAGTTTGTCAGCCAGACCCCTACAGCTGACCTGGTCCTTCAGAAACTGCTGGCAGCGTTTGGCCCCATCATCCCACTCCGTGATCAATGTTCCTGTAAAACAGTAATGATGGCATACATTGTATTATCAGGAAGATAGGAAAAATATCAAAATCATCACCCTCTAATTGATGGGCAGGATAGTAAAGATTTTTGACTAGAATGTGTTGCTACAAGATCTATTTTATCCATGTTCGGCTGCTTAGCTTTCACAATTTAGTCCAATGATCATGAGTATTAAATATCTACCAATACAAGATGCATTACTACACTCTCCAAGCAGGACACTGCTTATAAGCCCTTTGTGAAGATCAGGTCATGGTCAAGACAATGACAGATGAGAGACTTCTTACCTAGAACCTTGACGCCATGTTTGTGAGCAGCATTGGTCCAGCCAGGAGGAGGCAGTGTGATGAAGTGGTGACTGAAGTACACAAACGTGTCGATGTGCTGCCAGTGAGAGATCAGGTAACAGTCATCCCTCCATGTCCCCTGAACAAACCTGGGAATATGTAGTCTAAAAGTCAGTTTGATACCGTCAAATCATTAACAGTGGTAACATTATAAAACCACTGAATCTGGATTGTTCAACTGATAAAACCACCCTTTTGTGTAACACACCTGCTTAACAGCGCATCAATATTAGCAAATCACTCCTCAGATGCAAACCATATATATCTAACCCTAATACTTGATATTTAAAGATATCTACAGGAGAGACAACTACAGTATTTAAAGACAACAGGTTACTGTTGTTTGCCTGTCTGAAAGTTACTGCTGTTTATTTTCCAATGCTTAGTTTTTTAAGCATTTGATGTACATCTTGACCAAGATAACTATACTGTCAGTCTATCCTGATTGATTGGGAGTGACCAACTTCCCTTCACCTTACCTGTCTTCAATATAGCCTCCCTTCATGTCGTGACACACCAGGGTCTTGGGCACACCATCTTGCTGAGTTCTCTTGGCAAGAGGGACAGTGGCAATATTGAAGGCATCCGTCTTACAGCCATCTTTGTGTGGTGTCCATGCCAGAACGTCCTCTACTGTGTACAGTGGCCTGCTAACTGGAACCAGGGAGTCTGATGTGTCAGACTCAGTCTCAAAGTTCTTACCTGGAAATGGGTGAATATTTGACAACTAATTCGATACCATTAGACCAGACCATAATGCGAATACAAAATATATAAATATCAAATTGTCTTAGTTTCACTCTACCATGACTTCCACATCCTGATACTAGTATATGCTTTCATCTTTATGTCTCAAGCAGTATTTTACATACCAACGAGGTCAATATAACGTTAACGGGGGGGTGCCCTAATTCCGTGCTATGTTCCATGCAAACGCACAGACCTTTGGTAATAGTTTATCTGACCAAAAACCCGCGCAACATGAGCTATAATATTGACAGATAAAGATCACAACGATTAAAGCTGTACAGCTGTGTATTTCACTTGAGTGTAGCGGCTTGCACCCAATCGTAATGGTTCGCGAAACGCACGGCAGTTTTTTGGTCATTTTGCCGGTGGAACGTTCTATCGCAACAGGGGTGCCCTAATTCCGACCTAGTGTTTAACACAGGTCGATCTGAGAAGAGAATTTAGAAATAATAATACACAAATTATGACTAAAACAATCTACAAATGTTTTCTGTCCCAAACAAGTCCTCTTTTTACGATTACGCGACTTGCTCCAAAGTGGCTGTTTGAAAAGCAAAACCTGCATGAGGGTCTGCATGGGGGGTCCTGATTACGCTTTACACTAAATTTATGGAGGCTCGCAACGCTTTACGTTAAATTCCGGGAGGCCGGCAACGCTTTACGCTAAATTCTGCCTCCTTTATCCCGAGTTGTTCGCCTAAATTTGTTTATCAACTGACTCACAGTAGTCGTTTCGCTGTCTTGAAGAACTGACGACTCCACATTGCACCGATACTGGGTCAGAATCGACCCCGTATGCGATAAAATGCGCACAATCACGGGCGTCGCGTGGGCCATGGTGGGATTGTACCGCGCACATGGACCCAGATAGGACAGGCAAGAAAGGGACAGACAGGATGAAGATGCGACTGAGATTGACTCCAGATGTGCTCCCGCCACCCGGTCAATACTGACCAATAATCCCACAGAACTCCACTGATGTCATGGGTGCTCTCATGTCCAGGTTAGACAATAGAAATCCTGGATACGACGTTGACCCAACAGGTCATCCGCTGGTTGCTGGTTCGTCCGCTACGGCTTACGAAAAATGGGAGTCCAGACTACGATTTACGGGGAATTTATAGGCTCGATTACGCTTTACGTGAAATGCGCTGGCTACGCTTTACGGGAAATTTTCGCCTCCTCACTACGAATTACGGTAAATAAAATAACTTCCCTACGAATTACAGGAAATTAAAGAGGCCCGCCTACGCCTTACGGAAAAGAGCATGCAGACCCTCCTGCATTTTTGACACGCTCGTCAACCCCCGAACAAGCGTCGAATTCACACAGATTTTTCACTCGTCTGTTGTCGGAGTGTAGGAACTAAAACAAACTTTGTGAGATTGCCGATATCAACACAAAAACATAGTCCATTCTTGTGATTATTTTTAGGCTCCCATGCATAACGCCGCAACAAGGATTTTTCAAACTAGTTCGGTATTAGGGATGGGTCGGAATTAGGGCACCCCCCGTTACTGTTCTGTGTCCACAAGTGTCCATGGTTTGGGGTTTATTTATAATAATTGTGGAATTAGGGGAAACTCACCGAGCTGTGGCTTTATGGAAAAATCCAAGTCCGCAAGGCTGACACTCACAGTACCACCACTCATTGTGTTCCACTTTCATAAACACCTTGCAGTGGTCAGTCCCGACAGCAACTGCCCACCTGCGGCTCTGGTTTCTACCACTACTGAATGGGGCAATGCGACTTAGAAAATGAATAAATATGCGCAATATATCCAGGAAAAGTGAGGTTCTACATATGTGCAAATCATTAACCTTTAAATTCAATAATACATAAAATAACATTAAAAGTATAATTCAGGTTGAGCCGTTCCAAAAAATAATCAATGGTCGATGGTCACACTTAGATACAGTATGGCAGGCCATTGACCTTTGACACTCAACATGGCGGACATGGGACCAAAAAGATAGCCAAAGGAGATGTTTCTGTCAAATTTTACCATCTTTTTGCTTACTCGCGTCGTGATGGTGTCCAAAATATGTGCATAAAAATAATCTGTTTTTTATAAGTCCGATTAAGGTCCGTTTTTACGTTTGATTGTTGTCTAGGGCAGGACTTTGATCGTCGGCAACTTGGGTCACCGCGCTAGAGTAGAGGAGTTAGCACTGCTGCAATGATACCTCTTCTCAGGAACGTGCTGCGGAAAAGCCCCTACCTGACGAGTGTGGGACTGTACACCACCCTGTACACCGGAGCAGACGTCTGTCATCAGCTGTGGCACTTCCATTTCATCGAGAAAACCACACACCAACACTCAACATTTTCCCTCGACCTCGGAAGGACCGCCAGAATGAGTTTTATCGGTTTCGCGTGTTTAGGCAATTTCAACTACATGTGGATCCCGTTCTTAGAGAGGCTGTTTCCTGGTGCTACCGTTCGTAAGACCTTGGCCAAGGTGCTGGTGGATCAGGTCATAGCGGCCCCTATCCTTATCACGGCCTTTTATGTTGGTAAGAAAATTGTGTAGAACTACTACGAGCTAGGAGTTGATTTTGAACTAGCTATTCAATGATATTTTAAACTTCCTTGAACTACTTTAGGCAGTCCCTTTCTTTAGAGTTTAGATGTGTTATCCATGATTTGATGATGAGTAACGTCGATCAATTAGAAAGTGGTCGTAAATCTGTCAAGTTTAACTAACCAAGGAGCTTAACCCCCTTGAACTAACTGACATTTTCTATTCACGTCTCCAGGGCTAAGGACGCTGGAGAGGAAGCCTGATGTCTTTGCAGTTGTGAGAGAGAAATTTGTGGATACTTACCTGGTACAGTAACGTTTACTCCTAAACAATGTGTTTTAGCAAGTGTTTATGACCTTTGTTCCTGACGTATTTCATGTAAAATACCTTCTTCTTCATCTCTTTCATTAGTACATACTAGTAATTCTTAACTGTAGATTTGGGCAAGTTATAACTGACAGAATCTGTGGATTTTCACCTCAGTGGTCACAACTCACAAGATACAATGTTGCTCAGGATTTGTGTCTTGTTACTCATCATGTTATTATTGTTGTTACAGACAGGAATGATGTTCTGGCCAGCAGCTCAGGTAAAAGCATCCCAATGAAGTATAACACATAGATTCAACTCATGACCACATGGAGCATATGTAAATTTGGTTCCTGTAACAACATACTAGTATTAATGTGACATTCTTGCAACCCATTAAACAAATCTTTTGACAATTCTTACATGGGTCAGAAAATTAAACACTTCTATAATGTTCCAGACAATCAACTTCTACCTGCTGCCTCTACAATATCGTGTGATCTTTCTGGGAGTCTGTTCATTTACCTGGGCTAACGTCATGTGCTTTATGAAGGCAAGGGCAGAACAGGTAGGTCTAATCAAAGTAATCCATGATAATTTATTATTCAGTACAGTTCAGTTCATCCTAATCAGGTGACACCATGTATTGTCTCCACAAGTTCCTGTCACGCATGACAGAGGACAGTTCAGCACTGGCCAGACCTTTATTATTATGTTATTTATTATTATATTATTATATCAAGCATTTGAATATTATGCTGTGACTATTGAATATTTTTCTTGTTTTGAAATACAAAACTTTTAGGTGAATGAATGAAATATAATGAATTGATAGAAGTATGTAACAGTTTGCAGTCTTTGCCAGTTCTATGAGACAGTTCTAAGTGACAGCATTATGCACAATGTTTCCTTCACAGAAATTGCTGGAGTCCAATGCTGGAAACCAACAAGATTGATGAAGAGATAATGTCTGCAAAATAAGGTTCTTGACAAGATGCATCATCAATCCTACCTCAGTAAAAATGTGCATTTACCGATATGAATTTTAAATTTTCATTCACTAAAACTAGTTTATGACAAGGATGTAACTAGTATGTTGGTCGCTTCGGGTGTCTTATAGATAACGAATCATATTTTAATTACTAGTATATTTTTATTGTGTTTTTTTTTAATCATTGAAAAGATTTTTATTACTTCAAATTTATACACCTTTTGGATGATATATTACCTTTCATGTTGGCTGCTGTCACTACTGTGTAGAATTTTTCACTGACCTGGGCCAAAATTTGTGTATGAAATCAATCTATCAGGATGCTTGTCAAAAGTGATTGATATTTCTTGCTGCTAATATGAAATAAATTGTGTGATAGAATCCAAATTTCTTAAAGTCTTGATGAATGCCCAATTTCTCCTATAAAGACCTACTCTATTGCACACTTTTGACTGGACTCTGCCCATGGGAATGATATTTGCACATGAAATAAATCAGCAGCTTGAAGAGAACGGATCATCATAATCATATCCAAGGATCTATTGAAACTTTGCACTTAATGCCACCAAACATAGATGGTCCACCTCTATACTTACATGTAGCTTACACCAAAAGTAAACTCTTCCAGCAATTCTCATGATAAACTTAAACATTGCAAAATGGATCATAATGCACTACATCATCATGTGACTAATAGTGTCAGAGACTCAGTGTTTGGATAATAGAAATATAACAGTACATTACCCTTACTCCAACTTTTGAACTCCATATTAATTTTAGATACTATGCATATCTTATATAAGCGCATAAATATTATGTATATTCACACTTCTCCCATTGAGTTTATAGAATTCTAAGCTTTCAACAGTCATAACTAGAGAATTTACACATTGTTTACGCAGTTGTTTTTCCCATGTGACTTATACTTGGACAAGGTTTCACTGAAGAAAATTGTCTGTTGCACTGATTGGCAATGTCATGAAAAAATTGCTACACGTAGGAGCGACACGTTTCATTCAAAGCAAGAATCAGAACAATTTTATGATACTTGGATACTTGAGATGATAACAAAGAATTGGATCTGGATCGAAAAAGTAAGATTGTTTGGCATTTTTGGAAAATACACAAAATGTCTCCTATTAATAGTATTATCTAAGATAAGTCTTTTTGTAACAGATATGTACAGACTGTTGTGTATAAATTTCTTGTCATGTCAATCACAACATCAGAAATGAGCTATTTTTACTTCAACTTCGGCTGACAATTTTATACATGTATAGTATATAAAGCGATGAGCTGTAGCTTGTGCTCATTAGCTTTGATAGTAGGCAATTTTACATGAAAAGTAGTTGCACCTTCTCGGTGGTCATTGCCTACTTATCTATGTAAATATAGTAGCAAACTAACTGTGGTCATGGGCACCACTGTCTCATTAGTGGCACCTCACACCTCCTTTCAGTTTCTCTCAGAGCCTTTTCTAACCAGTCATCATCCTCTTTGTCTTCATCATCTGATGACACAGTGTTATCAACACGAATGTTGGACTTTGTCTGCCTCAATAATCTGGAATAGTTCATCTTTGCTTTTCTTGGTGCAAACCTCTGGAACAAGACGAACCCAAGACACCAGACTACAGAGACAACACAAGCTGCCCTATACAAAATAGGTCACCCCATACTTGTCATAGATAACCCCACTGACCATACTACCTGTGCCAAAACCCAGACCCCAATATATTGCAGCTATGATTGCCTGCACAGTTCTCTCGATCCCGGGAGGAGAGATGTGCTCTGCGTACCCCATTATTGCACCCCAGAAAGCGCCATAGCTAAAGGAATGAAGAAGCTCAATAGGGACTACTGCCCAGGGTGTCCACAGAAAGGAGTAGTAGAGAAAGCGGACGGAAAGACCCAGGAAGGCAATAGACACAAGCCCGGCATGAGTCACTCGTTTGATCAGCCAGTTCCCCAAGAACATCATGGGTATCTCTGCACAAGTGGACACTGTGACAGACAGACCCATGATGATCTCTGACCCTCCCTTGTCCTGTACCAGCCAGAAGAGAAAGTTGTGGATGCTTGCTGCCAGGCAACCCGCCACAAACACCGTCACCAGGTAGCAGATGTTTCGACAGTCTGTAAGGAGAAGCCTGAAGCTCTTGGAGATTTTCCTCTGGTTGTGCTCCTTGCAGACTGGATGGATGGGGTAGAAGAGGGCCAAGAGGAAGGCAAGTCCCACCACCCCAGCAAAAGTGTAGAAGTGGATCATGAAGTGGTTAATGCCTTGATTTAAGAAGCAGTCCGTGTTATCCACCAAAGCAGCAACGCCTGTTGCACAAATGGCAATGCCCAGTGAGCTCCAGTACTTCTGCTGGCCGTACTTCTCAATGTCATCCAGGTTATCCAGGAACTCGTACAGGGAGTCGTCGCAGATTTTCTCCACTTGAGATGTGAGAAGTTCCCCGATGATGATCACAGTCAGGACAATAAGGAAAGTTCTGTACTGCAACGGCAGGATCTCAACTTTCAGCTCGTGCACAATACTTTTCAAGCCCTCCATCAGAGATGTTGCTCTCTTCTCTCTGTTAGAGACAGATTTGTGATAAGTACTCTTCTTGTGCACCATTCCTCTGACAGGTGATTCATGGTAACTGTCTCCATACTGTTCGTTGTAGTACGGTGAATTCTCAAAGTCCTCATACCCCTCATTGTATTTGTCACTACCTTCAGCATCTGGTTGTTTTTCACCAAATTTCTCACTCAACTTTAACAGACGTTCTCTTACTTCAGGCTGGGCATCCTGATACTTGGTAAGTAGATAGTTAAGTAGGTTTGAAACGTCTTCTTTACCCTCTTGGGGGGTTTCTTCATCAACAGGACTATTGTTGTTCACATACTGGGGATAGTCATTGCTCTCTGAAAAGTCTGTGTAATAGTTCTTATTGGGCTTGTCTATGTCCTTCCTTGTTTCAAGATTTTCGTTCTGTTGATGAAATTCATCATACCTGGAACGTTTCTCTGTTGGCAGCCTTGTTTCTGGCAATGTGCTTTGGGACAGCCCTGTGTTTCCTTTCATTGGTGACCTATGGTCAAAGAGGTTAGCTGCATTTTTTGTGCTGTCTATAACACTGTCATCTTTAGGTATGAAAAATGGCTCTGATGGCAGAAGTTCTTCTTTCTCTTCATCATCAGGGGTGCCCAATTCTTCAGGAAAGCTGCCAGTGTTCATAATTCCCCCTGTTTCAGCCCTAGGCATGCTGTCATCAATTAACTCATTTTTCACTGAGACTTTTCTACTGGAAGTATCCTGTGGTCCAAGCTCCTCAGGCAAGTTATCTAGTGGAAGATTTTCTTGAAGGAATGGGGCATTGGAAATTGTCTGCTGACTTACTCCACTTGAGGACTGCTGAGCTATTTCTGTGGAATTTACATGAGTTTCTTCAGTAGGCAAGTCATTGCCACTGTTCATGTTCTCCACTGGTTGCTGGAACGGTTCTTCTGTGTTGAACACATCAGCTGACGTATTTCCTCCGATACCTCCCTGCAAACTCCCGTGAATCAAACCATTGACTTTCCCTGTTTCCTCTGCACCATCAGTGTGATTTCCAGGACAGAACTTAGATGTGTAGTCCTCATCTATTGGTGGTATGACTGTCAGAGACAAGGTGCATGCTATAGTCATAAACAGTGCAAACAGGATCACCAGCCGTCGGACGTTGTATTTTTTGGCCATCTTTGCCCAAACAGGTGTGGCCCACAGGCTGATGAAGGCCCGAGTGCCACATATGATCCCGACTTGTGTGGCCGACAGTCCCAGAAGCCGGAAGTAGAGCGGGAGGAAGGGCAGGAGGCAGGCCTTGCCAGCATGGTTCAGGAAGTAGAAGGCCTTGGCTATGGCCAGGCTCTGTGGCACGTTCCACTGTTTGGTTTTCCCCATGACTCTGCTATCCTGTTTGTGCTGTCACTTTTGCTGCTTCAACCCATGGTGAACCGTCTCTGTTTGACTTGCACACATCCAGCTATTGCAACATCCTGTTGGGAAACAGAAGCAGTGACATGGTCAGAACAACTCATATTTGCAAACCCATCAAAAGATCTCATTTTGTGAGGAATTTCAAACTGCAAACATTTGACCTGGCCATACATTTTGTCTATTTAAGCTGCGCACCACAAATATACACAACAATCTCTCAAGAACATTTATTGTCCATTTTCAGGCTAGGAAGGACACTGTTAGGCAAATATACAAACACTGCCAAGGATACCACAGTAGTGACAGAGTATCCAGGCTTAGCTGCAAGATTATACCACAATAGCAACCATGTTAAGTAAAAAAAGTTCATTGGACAAAAATCTACGTGAAGTTGTAATACTTTTGGCAGAGTGGGTAACAGTGTGTTGTGCCAAACAAATTAAAAAGCAGAAAAAACACTCCAAGTATGAGATGACCAAAAGGTAGGAAGTAATGGCAATAAATGTCAATATCCTAAATAGACAGATTTCCTCATTGAAATGCATAGGATGCCTTTAAACACCTACACTACAGCTGTCTGGCCAGCTGTCATGATGCTACTTAGCAGCTACTACCATGAACGCAACAGCTGGAACAAATCAACCACTATCTGCTGGAAAACCGCTATTACCACACACCCACAAAGGTTGATAAAATTAGTGACCCGTTCTACAAGTCCATCAAAATAGGGGTGTTTTGTTAAATATCATATGGCCTATGAAAACTGCATCTTGTGCACACTAAAAGACCACATGCGTAACTACATACCAATGCAGCAAAGGGCTCGTGAGTTACAGCTGGGAACGTGCAGACACGACTCATTCCAATACTCCACAGAGGTCACTGACCTCCTCCCCGGAGTAGATATAGATGAAGAGCACGGGTACACGCACAAATAAACATTGTACTGGTAACAAAAGTAATTTGCACATCCCAAGACCAAACATGCCATTTTAGACACTCATGCAGTCAAACTCACACAGAAAACTAACCATGGGACATACTTCAAAGGACTACTATTGTCCTGTAGATTCTGAGTTCAATGACCTGCATACATGCTGAATGAAGAACCTTCTTATACAGTCTTTTGCCAACCTGATGAAATTATTCACAGACCTGGATACAGCTTGTCAAATATCAGACATTGCAAATGCAGTACAATGTATTTGGTAAGTAAACCAAAATCAGAGAAGTTTCTTAACTATTTTACAACCTATGGTGACCTTTTAGGCCACGTAATCTTAAAAGGAAGGGCTTGAGGCTAATTGTAATTCACAGATTATGTCATTTTGTTACCTTCCCATCCTTCCCCACCACTACAATCTAGTAATATCATTAAGTAATGTAAAGCAGCCATACCTACAGGATGTCCTGAGTCAACAAGCTGTTTGCAGTGCTGTTAAGTTCTGCTAGTCAAGGAAAAGCTTACCACCTGTTACACATCCCGGTGGTGTCTGATCCGTGTGTGGGGCTACTAATTATTTATGCAAATTAGAAACCATTGTGGGAGCGTAATAGCCCTTATATATCAATTCCTACATAGATACATTGTAGTTAAGGAAGGGCATGAACTGTATTTACAAAACAAAAATGTTCCATGACATAGTTTTACTACATCACCAGAATCTGACATGGAAGGACAGCTATAAATTCACTTTAAACTAAGTTTTAACTGGTCACATGTTCAGCTTTGTGCCACGTCAGCGTTACATGTGGTCAAGGCTCTTAAGGGAGGAGCTAAGCCTATTAAATGGACATTCATTAGACCAATGGGAATACTTTTATCTGGAGATCAAAGCAAGGTATCAATTTTTTTTAATATCAATTTTTTCTTCTCCTTTCTGGCATGATGCCCATTAAGTACAGATTTATTGGCAATATCTACAAATGTCTTTTAAAACAATGCAGCAACTCGACACATACACACACACATAAACAAACACACACCCTAAATTGCCTAATAGCAAAATGACAGATGCATATGATAACATTGAATTTCATATTTTGAGATGTCAAATGGCTTGTGGGTATTGTAAGTGACTCTGATTAAGTATTAGACAGACAACAGTACCGAGGTATCACAGCTGCCAACTAGAATAGCATTAGGAAAACTTGTACCTCTCAAACCCCATTAACATCAAAACCCCCATGCAAAGGTGCTTGGTGCCTGGTAGACAACAAAACATGTACTGTACACTACGGTAGTTGTCTACAGAAAAACTGCACACTTACACCATGTGAACCAGTCTTTCTACTGTCACCTAATGACCCAATGTCTTTTGTTTTGCTGACAACATGTTTGCTACCCACAGTGATGAGACAATACAGCCTATTATTACCCACAAACTCTTTCAAACACAAGAGACCTGATGTTAGTTTCGTCAAAAGCCTCAAGATATGTTCTGTATATAGCACCTGGATGAAAAACCTTTACAAACCTGTTTTAACTTTACATGATGTTTGAGATTTATCTTCGTTGTTATCACTGAAGTGCCTTTGTTCAGGTAACACTTCTGATGGACAATAACCTCATACAAAATTCTAAAATCTATATTAATAGATAGATACAAGTTACATAACTTTTAATGTGTTATATCCTTCATGTATCATGCCTAGAAAAGATTAGGAATTGATGTCAACATACAAAATGCAGTAACAGCCCACTAATGGTCTATTCTTTCTTCCATGCTGGAAGAAAATGTTTTCATTTGTCATATTGTCTTTTAAAGTACAATGTATTGATATACATATATGTCACATTCTTAGGTTTCTTGTAACTGATTAAAATGTGTTTTCCAAAGCCATAATTTCAACAGCACTTTCAGTGGCATACTGGACAATACACGACTTCAGACAGTCATATGGACAGACAGACAGACAGCAAGCATGGGAAAAGACCTTCAAAAATGTGGCAATATATTTATTGTCAAACTCATGATCAGCAGGTGGAGCAAAAGAATGATCCTGAAATGACTGTGTACAAAACATCCATGAACCTAGCAATCCATGTTTCATTGAACCAGGCTATTGCAATATATCTTTGTACCAGTAGGGTGCATTCAATTAAGAGAAAAGCTCTGTGGTGGCACACTGTCAGTGATGGATGTTCAATTTTGATTATCTTCCTGATCTGTGATTTTGTATGCTGACAAGCCAGATCAAAACATTGAGGTGGACAGAAGCCTGTCAATTAGGTTCTAATGGAGGTCTTATTAAACTGCCCCTCCCCTTCCTATAGTCTGCAGGGGTTAACACTCTCATGCAAGTCAATATAGAATGTGCCAGATGGGACAGGACTGAACAATGCGGTCCAAGGTAAATTACATGCTTCAGTGACTTCCAATTACTTAAGTAGGTAGAGTGGGTTTCAATATGTTCTGATATTAAAACAGCCTTTTTGGCAGTGGTTGTTTTGACACATAAATTCTCCTAAAAATGAAATTGATTAGTCTGAAGCCTACGGAGTGGTCATACAATATATCAATTTTCATCAGGATGTTGACAAACTAAGCGACACAAGTCCAACAGCAGGATGCAGATGGCATGGAATATCTTTACCTTAATAATCATCCTTAATTTCATCATTTTTGGGTATGCCCTTAATTTGGGGGGCTGTTTATTGTAGTTAGTTCCTCACTGACAATGATTGCAGGGTTATGGCCTCTGACTGCTTCAGTTATGCCTCCAGCAGTAAGCCTTGGCTATCTAGGTCAGCCTTTGGTTACATTGTCCTTTCTTACTAGAGCATAAGACAGTCAACAGATCCAACACTGAAAAGGGTAATACTTTTTCTCCCTTTTTACAGGCTATACAACACATTTATAAAACATTTAGTTAGTAATTATGATATGGTACATTAATCGACAAAAGCTGAAGTGTTAATTACTGTAATAATGATAATCTACCAAACTTAGTGTTCCCTATAGTTATATTTTAATTATGGTAGTTTGGAAAAACACAGCCCTGATAGATTACAATTAATGTTGAGACATAGAGATTCATTGTAGCTACCCCCCACCCAAAAAAAATTACTATTGTGAGGGTTAAGTACCCAGCACAACTGAACATAAGATTAAAAATTAGATGCAACTAGAGTGTAGAACTGCAGGGTGTAAATCGACATAATCACATCTGATTACCTCCCTGACAACTTATCTAATGCAGACTTTCTGTTCCACCTGACATGTCATCAAAATGGTCAACACTCCAAAAACATTTTAATCAGGAAGGTCCGTATAAGAAGCTGACAGTGACACTTTGCTCCAAGTGCATGTACGTTTCTGTTGAAATATTTGTAATATCGTCGTGTAACGTTCCTTAGTGCATCATAGAATTATATTGTATCGTTCGCATGTCTTCAGTGCATTATCTTTTAGTCCCGCTTTGTTTGTGCAGCTTGGATACGAACCAAGGACTTACAAAGGCGTTCCTACGCACAAACTCAAAGAACCATGTCACACGCTAACAGCC